AAATAGGGAAACAGAATCTAGTGATTGAGGATAAGAGAGGTACTGTAGATTTACCCCTTCTGTAGATAATGCATTCTCTGACTGGGTATATAAGAAAAGAAATAAAAAATAACAGTATTTTGCCTATAGTTCATTTTTCTTAGCAGCAGTAGAACTGTAAAAGTGATATCATATCCAAGTGCAGCTCCTAATTCCATGTGGGCATGTGGAAAAACAAGTTTAAGTATGTTATTATTAAAAAGTTCATTTAAACTACGTAATGGGATCGGGAGCTGTGTGGACTATTCTGATTTCTTCAGCTAAAGAGTTACAGTCACCCCTCTGCTCCTGTCTTGCTTTCTTGGTGGAGATTTCTGTGACAGCCACCTTTTGAATATCTGGCAGTCTTTAACGGCCAAACTTGAAATTTTGCACTGGAAAAATAGCATATAGTGCCAGATCTTGCACGTTGTACTGAAGCCAATCTTCATGCTAAATAATGCAGTGTTCAAGGCTCTCCAAGGCCGCACTCCCCACAAAATGCAGACTACTATATCTTTAAACTGGACTGTTGGTGCCTGCACATTGTGTAGCAACACATTTTTTATCTAGCAGCTGATTTTCTTTCCTTTGTGCCTTCATCATTTACTCCAGGCCCACAATTGGAAGACTGTTATTACATACCTCTTAAAAATCAAAAAGTAAATGTTTCTTTGCCAACTGAGCGGATTGAAAATAATCATAGGAGGAGGCTGCATATTAAAAGAAAGATTCAGGTACTTCTGTTGATGCATCATTTGCATCTTCTATACAATGTGGGGAAGCTATAAAAAAGGCAAACAGTATGGCGAAGAGATCTTGTCTTCCTTAAAAACATGGCCAGACGAAATCCTGTCTACTAACTAAGCTAGCTGAATGGCCTCTCCTGATTTATCACTGTTCTTCTTAGTGAAAACAAGTCTGAACAATAAGAAAGAGACAGATACACTGTATGCATATTATTTTCAAGTGTTATTTTTGCAACTTAATGGAACCTTTTGTAGTGAATAAAGTAGTATAAATGCTTACCCAGCACCTAAAATGAGTGAATGCATAAACAACAGTAAAACAGGGTCTTCAAACAGTAACCTTGCTGATCTTTTCCAGCGTGCACTTGCCAAGACTCAATCCTGAGGTGACCCATTTCATTTCATCTGAGCAGTTGCTAAGCTCTTGCAGTTCCCACTTTGAACCTATTAATCATCATCTCCTGCGACACGTAATGTGACACCATCTGGATTTCTAACAATGTGCTGTTTTGTTTCAACTTTTTTCACCAAGCAGGCATGATGGGACATGTGCTGTTATGGATGTGGAGATAGAAAAATGATTGCAAACATTTCCAAGCCAGGAAGATGGGGCGCTAACCTGCACCTAATGTTTTGAAACCACTTTTGTAATTAGTCGCGTATAATTTTAGTTTTGTAGAGAGATTCACACACACGTACTGTATTTAAAATCAGATGCTCTGGTCGTGTAGTTGACTAAGAAATTGGTTAATTTGCTTTTTAATTCTAGAAGCAGAAAAAAATTATCAACATGCCCATTTGAAAATTGTATATGCTCATTGTGAGTTGTGCTCTTACGCTGCGCGAGTATTTTTCCAGGTTTCTTGTGGCATGTCTGTTTTGACTATGGTCTGTCTCCTTGAACAGTCAGTACAGCTCTTTACAAAGGCCTTGCTGAATACTTTCAGTCATTTCATGGAGGATGGCAAAGCTGTGTGAATTCAGCTGCCTTTGGGGAAGGTCCTTCCCTTCCAGAACTGTCCCACAGGTCCTGAATGTGCGGTTTGTGAAATCTGCCTCTCCAAACCTCAACCTAATTACAGCTGCGATGCAACCTTTTAACCTCTCCCCTTTTTTTTTTACTCTTCGCTGTGCCAGTGCAATGATCTAATTCAGTGGTTAGGACAGAAGAGGAACAGGGCAGAGCACTTGTAGCTCAAAAGTAAAGATTTAACAGTAATACCTTGCCTCAATCCTTTCCCATGCAAGGTGAATATTGTTTCTGAACTTCCAACTGTTTTTGACCAAAACTAGATGCTGGCCTCTAAGCCCATTACAAAAAGCCAGCACCAAGGCAGCATCCTCTAATGATTAGGGGGTCTGAAATCTGAGTTTCCAAGACTCATAACAACTGCATTAGTGACCAAAATGCGTTTTGTCAACAGTACACATAAAAGTTACCTGATTCCTATTGCTTTCCTATTCCAGGCATGGGAAGTGATAAAACATTTCAATATGAAGATGGTCTGAGACTCTAGATGTGAATAAGAAACCCAAAACTACTGTTGCTAGAGCTACTAACATCTGTGCAGAGGATACACAGACAGCTCTTACAATATTCTGCCACGGTTTCTTCCTTTATCTTTTGCAATGGCTGCCAAAGTCAAATAACATTCAGATTTAAGTAACACTGAAACCCCAGGAGACTCATGAATGCATGTTAAAAGTATTTGTGATCATAAAAAACCCCATCATGAATTGCCTTTGTTTTTTCACCTCCACTTTGATCTATTTCAAAACTGTGAATATTTATTACTAAACCCAGAAGGTAACAATCTAAAATGAAGTGTCTTGGCTATTTCAATGCTCTCAGCACTGACTGGGAGTAGCTCTAGCAGAAGTTCTGGTTTTCCTTCTGTATTAGACTCCAAATAGTATAAAGCATCCTTATACATTACTTTGTGTCTCCCCAGAAGCTCAGATTTCAAATTCCAATATTTCTAAATCATATAGACTATATATTCATGTATTCATAAATACGTATAGATTTTAGAGCTGTTGAAAGCAGCTACAGTCCTTGATTTTATCTTGTGTTGGTTGCCTGTTTATTCATAGAACAAATGACAGTTTTAATACACAAATCATTAAAAAACAAAGGAACTGAGAAACCACAATTGCACACCACTTATGTAATCATATCCAGTATACGCTGTATTGTGCTGTATCCAGTATTGTGTGAAATATCTTTCCTAAGCCGGCTTTAGTATTGCTGAAGATCTCCTGAAAGTTTTGAAATAAAAGCTGCAATATTGTGCTTAGCTCTTGGATAAAGCTGGCGAGAAAGACTGCAGACTACTCTAAATCTAATAGGAAGGAAGCAGTAATCACCATGGAGACCAGACTCAGCTGCCCTCTCTAATATATCTCACTTCAGAGGTGCAGTCGTCTGCCAGCAGTGTAATCCTGTTGAACCCCAGCATGAGACGGAGGCTAAGGCTGACTTGCACAAAATGGATTAATGTTTGTGATAGGATTCATGTTTCTAAAGTCTCCAGCATAAACAACCGCACTTGAAATGTAGCCTGCTTGGGATGGCACTTCATTGTGAAGTGGCTTAAATGTGTATTGAAGTGCACATTTTATTTCTGTCGAGTTAATGTGTCAAGAAGCCCCGTGTTCTTATTTAATGTGAAGTGGCTCAGTGTGGGCCCTGTACTCCAGAAAACAAATGCCACAGTGTCACAAATGGCAATCAACCTTTTAATGGTAGAAAAAAAACACTTTTATTTATAAAAACACGAAATAATGCATAACTGTAAAGGGTAGAGTAAAGTAGGATCATGTGGTATTTTGTGCTTCTTTTAGTTATCTGAATTGCAGCATACTTTTGAAACATGATTGCCATTGGTTATTTCATAAGTTCTTGATGCACTGGCTCTTAAAACTCAGTATTGCAGACGTTTATGAAGCACAGTATGAGATGTTCACATTTCAGCTTCAGGCAACGTTTCTCCAGGGGATTCATGGGTATGAACTTGCAAGCTTCTCACAGTTAAACGCGTCAGTTTCTCCTACGCTCCTAACTAAAAATGTCATTTCCGTTAACCAAAATCCAACTTTAGGAGGAAAAAAACAATCACATTCTCACGGGGATCTCCCAGACAGTCAACCCTGACTGTATTAGTGGGATTAAGTCAATTTACATCTGTTAGCTTTTGGACTAATGCCTCACAAGACAAGTTGCTGCACATTTGTCCCTTGTGTTTTTAAGAATATTTTTCCATTTCGACCAACCAGTCCTTTTCTAGTTTTCTTTACCTCTGTGGATACCTTAGAAAAGGTGCTGTTTGAAAATAGTCTCCAGTTTTACTCTATTTCTAACAAAAAATCAACCATTTAGTTTTATGGGAATCATGAATTTCATGTTGCATTGTTATGCATGATCTGATACATTTGAGTTATTTCTGATTCTTTTGCTTTAACAAAAATCTAGGTATATTTTTTAGCTTTCTAGCTCTATAAGAATCTAATATTTTATCTGTTGTACAACAATACAGTTAATTGTAACAATGCAACTGTTTTAACTTTATTGTTTGGTTGTGCTCAGATTTGATGACATGGTTTACTTTGAGGATAAATATATAAAATATGCTTTCCAACAGAAAAAAAAATTCAATTTAACAGTTTTGTTACAACATTTTTGTTTGCTGAGTCATTGACGTGATTTTAGTTTAGGGAATTATGCTGTTTCTGGCAGAATCATTCTGATTGGTTTTGAAGAATGGCCTTCATAAAGTGTGTTTATTAGCCACGTAAACAGAAAAGATGTTTTGGTGATTCAAATCCTACTTTTGTTTGGAAGTATTCACTCACAACGACCTCTAAATCGTGAAGCAGCTGCACCTCTGGCAACATGGAGACTAATAAATCTCAAAGCAATTGTTTTGAAAGATGTGCTCAGAGGTCATTGTAAATTTCCGCACTTTTTCATTTCATGCCAAGTTTCTTGTTTTAATGTGACTGAATGGGATTTTATATTGTTGGCTGATGCCATCATCTTAATACTTCCCTGTCGTATCTCTATATGAATGTCTGGAAAAACTGATTTACATGGCTTCCTTTAATGTTTTATGTGTTTTTTTTTTAAAGAAAAAAATGGAATGCTTCTTCTTGGTATCAGACCCGAACAAAAATAAATTATTTTAATTTTCATTTTTTTCAATGCATTAGTTCTGTTCCTCTGCTTCCTCTCAGACTGACAGCACAGAGGAGCATAGAGGATGAGGAAGAGATTGCCAGAGAGCGTCGACGAAGGGCTCGAGAGGCATTTCGAAGCCAGACCTCCAGCATGGGAGGACTTGTTTCAGAAGACGGCCAGCCAGCTGAGCACAGTCAGTAAGTAATGGGTTAAAAAGAGGTGGCAGCATGAGGCATCCTACACAAGAAATGTTACAAATGAGAGGAGGTCATTCAGTCCTCCTAACCTATTAATAGTACTTGATCCCAGGATCAAATTACTTGATTATGGATCAATTAATTGATGAAGGATAACTACTTGATCCAAGGAACTCATCCAGCCATTTCCTGAAGGAAGCTAGGTTATGGGTTTCAACAATATGGCTGGATAGCTTGTTCTATATGTCCACACTCCTTTTATTTGTGACTCTGTACCACTGATTTCACATCATGGCTGACAAGTGCAACTGAAATTGGTTCCTTTTTGAAACGTTTGTTTTCAGAAAGATTTGACATTCCATTTTAAAATAGTATATGCAATATTGAAATAACTTCAAAATGGCCTTGAGCCATGCGTTTGTTTACCTGTTGGAGAGTAAGGGTACTAAGGGAATGGTGAAGGGGCTAACTATGACATCAGATGTTTTACAAAACCTACCGAATACAAATATAAATATACAGTAGCTGAAATAAATGCTAATGTTTCTTTGTTGCTAACTGTATGTTCAGTTTCTTTTACTTCATTGGTATTCTTTTCCCTTTAAGAATTGGAAGAAGACTGTTTATCTTGAGAAATATACTTAAACCTAGTCATCCAGAGCAACTAGTATTCACAGATTGCAGTTTGCCTAACTTATTAAGTCTTGATGTAAAACAGCTGATGCTGTCTGATTAAAGTCTTTAGGGTCCATATTTCCACAGAGTGTGAAATCCCAAAGCTAGTGTTTTCACTTAAACAGCATGTGCACTGAAGTGTTCATAAACACAACTAATGGCATGGACTGCAGTAGTTAGTAAATTGCCATGCAACCAGGGTGGTTTGTGAATTATGAGGCTCAAGGATACATCAAGGATACATCTCCAACCACCTGAACAGTGCTGTGATGTAGCCACTACCCTGTCTGAAGTGTGTTATTGTGCTTATGAAAAAAAATACAAATATTGCAACACAAGCTACTACAATTAGCAACAAAACAAAAAGAATAGATGCTTCAAAAATGGCTAAAATAATGTGGATTCTTTTGGGAAAATGAAAAGATGAAAACGAAAAAATGAAAAACCACCTACAGTAATTCCAATGCTGATATTTTAGATAGCACATATGCCCGAAACACTGTACAACTTTTAGTTATATTGATGTTTAACATGTTTTACATTGTGCTATATGGTCTACTGTACATCATGCCATTTTTGACTCATTAGGCAGTTCAGTACTTAATTGTCTTGGGATTTTTATTTTACTTTTGCTAAATGGAGTACGTCTTCTGAGCTGGTGGTCCAGTCTGCACTTGCGCAGCATGTGTTGTAGAGAAACAAGCACAATGTTGAGAATGCTTGCACAGGGTGAGGATGTTTACTGCAAGGTTAAATGGGGTGGCCCACGGAACATGAGCAGACTCTCTTTCTGTGGAGGAGTCACAGCTGCCTTTTCATTACCCAAGCGCCTAAGAATGTTTACTGCACCACCACTGCGGAAATGGCAGTACGTCATGTTTTTTAACGCTGGCTCTGTATAGCCCATGTTAAAGAGGATTGGTCTTGCATCTTTGTGCAACGCTCATTTCTTTTTTCAATTAGATTAATTAATGACAGTATGGGACAGCTGTAACTAGTATGTTTTGTGCTTAGTATTTTCAGTTGCAAATTCAGTCGGTGATAGCTGTATCAGTTCATCTGCAACTAAGATGGCTGTAGAAAACCTTGTATATTTTTGTGGAATCAGAAAGACCATTCAGTAAAATTAATTGTATTGTACACAAAGACCTGGAGTGTTTGAAAGCATGCAAGATGTTCTGTAATATAATTTATGTTTCAGAGGGATATACATGATTTCTTGTAGCTGCAGAAATTCTTTGTCTGAAATGTTTCATAGTAATCGGAACTTATACCTGCAGGAATTAAAATGATAGGGAATTCATGTATGCATTACAAGCTGTCTATAAGAAGCTGCCAGATTTAATATAATTTACCATCCGGTAACATTAGCAGAAAATAGAAAACATGACTCTTCACACTTTGGTATGTTATTTGCATTCCATTGGGCAGCTCCTGGAAAGATAAAATGAACTGTCAGGGGCAAGGGTACACATTACCACCTTTCAAGGTTTATGGAATATGGTACAGTGAAATGTACACTGCACATCATTAAAAATATCATGTTGATGTTCCTGAGGATATAGCAATTTGCCTCTAGCCCTTTCTGAGCCAGCAACTATTTTTGAGTGATAAAGAATTTTGGGGGTGCTCTTTGGGGGTGTTCTGAAATGTTAAAAGACTGAGCCACGTGTGCCCATGACGACAATGATTCTAACTTTCCATCTTGTTTTATATTAAACCTCTTCCATGCTTATTATACCAATTCAGCGTTCTTTTAAAATGGTCTGTTTCGCAGGTGAGGTTTTCCTTTCAGCCCAATTATTTCTCAAAGCCTGCTATGACAATGTCAGCACCCTCATGAAAAAAGTGCTGTGACAAGTCTAAACAGTCACCACTGTTTACCAATGCCTCTAACCACTTTTTTACCTTCGGTATGAGGTAATCAGGTGTAACTGAAAGTTGCTTCATTTGTTCCATCGGTATAGTTACCTCACACTAGGCCATGTGGTGTAGAAAAAAGACTCCAAAAACAGAAACATCTGTTTCCCTCATTGCTTTTGATGTCTGGGTGGTAGTGTTAATTGATGAACTCATGCTACAGTATATAACAGCTAAGCAGGTCTTTAAAAAACTGCACCTCATCCTGTTTCTCATTTCCACTAGTGTGGATTTACAGCAGTTGCTGAATTATAGGTACCTGTATGTGGGAGAAACAGACAGACAGACTAGTCCTGCTGCCAATCAAGTGATTCGGTGATAGAGCCTGTACAGGCTCGTTCTGCTGTGTATTCAAGGAGAGGCTGTTAAGTATCTCAGTTACTGAATTCACATTGCCTCCCTTAGTACAGTATATTTGTTTGCGATTTTTATTCCATAACCAATAGTGGTAATTTGGTTCCGTTTTGTTCTTTTAAAATCTACATAAAACCTTTGAGTTCAAAAGCCCCCTTCATTCTGTTTGCTTCTCCAACCTACTGTACCCTGAAGTTGTAATAAAATTGTCTTTCATGGGGTAAAGGGTAGGGTTAGGGTTAGGGTTTTCGTGCTCTTTATTTAAAAAACAACATTTGAAGTGCATCATTGTGTTATCTGAAGTGGTAATCTGTAGTGCTATTAGCAGACTGTGGGCTTCTCCAGTTTTAATATACTGTAATATTTTTAATTTCTAAAGATGATTAAGTGCTGCAATTCTTTAGTCCTTTGAATATTTACCATTACATTGCACCCTAGGGTGTAATTTGTTTAAATACAGATGGTAAGGAAGAGTGTTATCTTTTTGATAAATGAAATGAAGGTTTGGTATGTGTTCCAGGTATCATTATTAAGTAACTCATAATTTAATCTTTCTTCTAACCTCCCAATGTGTTTTCTGCTTATTCTGATTTTAAAATGTTTTGCATTTTCTGTAATTCTTTTAAATATTTAATAGTTATTTGCTCCTTTGAAGGCCTACCATTTCAGTGTCAGCTATTTTGTTTTTTTTTATTTTTATTGCCAGCATTTGTTCTTCAGAAAACATTTTGACAGAATGAAGTGTGCACATTATGCCCTTTTTTCTGTTTTTTTATTTCATTATTCTACTGATATTTTTTTTGCTTTTGAAAAATATTGTAGACAACTGAAATACCATTGGTAGGGGTTCTATTTGGCTTATTAACAGTGTATAGAATGATTTTCAGTGCTGCTGGAATTGGCACTGAGTGTAGGCTAATGTAGGCAGTCTCTCTTGTTTACCATATACAGTAAATCAAGTGGGATCTGAGATCCAGGAGTTCACAAACTCGCCCATGTATTTCAAATAGAGTGAAAAAGGTTATTTAGCACTTGTGTGTGAATGGAAGATCACATCATTAAATTTGTCACACTTAGGGCAGGAGATTTCAATTGCAAGTAACTCATAATCAGGCGTTATATATAGCAGACACCATTCTGACAGTCTGCAATAGCTTTTGGTTTAAATAAATCTTTTCTTTCTGTCTGAGCAAAGAAGTAAAGAGCTTTACAGTAGCTTAGTCCCACAACATATTCCTACCCATGGTGTGAATATACATGTACAGTAAGTGTTCAGACCCAGCATCTGCATCAGGCCCTGTAGGATATGGTTGTCAGATCATGCAGTGCTTGTTTGACCTAGCTGGCGTGAGTTGTGTTGTAAATTGTCTGCATAACAGATCTGTGCATTTTTCAAATGTGTATGATGGCTGTGGCTGTGTTTCATGTCTGCACTCTGAAAACATTCCGCATTAGTCTTTAGCCAAATCGTGATGCTAAAACGGAGCTGCTCGTTATTTGCCGCTGTAGGTATGACAGTGAGCTGAAGTCCAGCGGCCAGGAGGGGCTGGAGGAGGACGAGGGCTTCAGCGACTGGACTCAGAAGCTGGAGAGGCGCAGACAGAAGCGACTGGAGGAGCAGTGCCAGGGGGCTGGGGAGAGGGTGCCCAGCACCGCGCCCACTCCGGAAAGCTGGAGAGAAACCGAGGAGCGAGAGGGTGAACTGCAGTGTGGTGACTGGGAGAGGAAGGCCAGCGATGGGAGGGTCCTGGGGGATGCTCACGGGTCCGGAGAAGGGGCCGGTAGACGGAGAGAGAGGGAAGACCATGAGAGACCGTGGAAAGATGAAGAAAGGCAAGCAGCAGACAAAGGGAAAGAAAAGGATGACAAGGTAATTTCTTTCACTTGTGGATTTTCCAAATGAACAAAAAAGCTTCTATATAATTATCTATCTAATATAATGTGTATATAATAAATTAATAAACTATACTGATAAACATATTTATATATGATAATGTACAGTATAGCTACTGTTCTAATGGAATACAATAAGCAAGAAGAGCATAACTTTAATTAAATGCCAGCTTGATTCAAAACTGTAGTTGGATGAAGAGACTGTAGAAGAAATGGCACATGACATTTTAAATGATAGATTTGTTTCACAACATACAGTAGGAAAAATAAGTATATGGAGCTTCATAGTAGTTATCTTTCTGAAATGATGTAACATGTTTTAAAAATTCTCATTTTCTAAAAACTTCTGCCTTTAATTGTAATTGTTTTTCCTCTCATTTAAATGACAGGTCAAGCTGCAAAGCTGCAGTTAGAAGAACTTTGAGCATTTCTTTTGTTAAGGTCTCCTTTCTTTCCGAGACCATCGTGTCATAGGACATTACTAAATTTGAGTTCTGTGAATAAATAGTCTGTAAAAAAAATGATATGTATATAAAAAGATGCACAGGAACACAGGAGATAACAGTTGTCGGAATCTGGATTTCCAGGTTAAGGAAAATAAGAAGGAGCTGAAGGTCACATACAAATCCAAAGTCTTCCTGCAACAGGAAGTGAGGCACATCAACAGCAATGGAGCTGCAGCTGAAGAGGAAGTGACATCACATTTAGTTCAAACTAAAAGGATGCAGAGGTAATATACCACAACAGGCAACTGTGTATTTAATGACAAACCCTGGTTTGCTTCAGTTTTTAAGTGAATGGTGCATGGTAAAAGAAGGATGCATGCAAAAAATATTTTTTTGCATTACGTTCAAGGGGTGAGATTAGTTAGAAATGACAGGCAGCTTGATTGGATATTTGATTGATTGGATACTATTGTTTTATTCCCATTTGTTATTCCAGGGACTTGACTAATAAGATGCACTTTGAGTATAGAGAACAGAACGGTGAAATTTACAGTACAGTATTTAATTCACTGTTACTGAATCAATTTTAAATACAGTATATTTCATTTATTTAAACTATTAACAAACATAACTTTTTCCAAGTTATATTTGTAAAAATCAAATTAGTTATGTATTTGCTTTTATTATTGTTCATCGGGAAACACCAAAAGATTGCAGAACCTGGGTCCTCCCGAACAGCATTAGTACACGTGTGTATGAAAATTCATGTTCATCCCCTACTTTCTGTATCACTCTGACTATTTAATATTGCAAAAGGCCATTTCTGAAATGTATCTTAATTTTTTTTTCAAAGAAACCATATCATATGGCTACAGTATAATATAACATCCTTTAGGGCAATGATAGCTTCTTTCATCATTTCCTTTTGCCCAACATCCTTCCTGAGTGTTGCCCTGTGTGCTCAGACACAGCTGCAACTCTTGATCCAGTTAGCAATGGCAGGACAAAGGAAATCATCTTCCTCTCACATCGGACACAGGTAGTGGAATTTCTATTAAATTCTTATTCTGTGGGCACCGAATTCAAGAACTGCACAAGCATGTTGCAGTGTTCGCCATCATTTCCTAAAGATTTAAGATGATGTTTTAAGCCACTGAGTGTAGGACTGATTTTATTCAGGAATTGATTAATGTGCAGTTCATAAAACAACGTTGTCATCTCTCTGAACTAAGTGGAAATTCACTGCAACTTGTAATACAATATCCTGGACAGCACTGACTTTGCCAAAGGTGCAGGGTGCTCACTTTCTGTTCTTCTAGAAGAGATCTGCTAACTCGCTATTCAACGTTACTGTTCTTCTGTTGAAGATCACTGTCCAGTTGCGATACAAAGCTGTTGTTCTGACATGCACAGAAAATTTGGGAATAAAATGCATTACAGTGCATTTTTTATTTATATGTATGTTTGTGTATGTGTTTATACAGTATATATGAAATTTGTTAATTTCATTTATTTTTTATTTTATTATACTTTACATCTACTTAGAAGCAAACAGCAAGTATCTTTTAAAGCATGAATTGTTTCCCATGATACAAAATGAAACTCAATATCTAAATCGCGATTCTGGAAGTAAACCGTCTTCTTTGTTATAGTTATAAGGCTACAGTAATACACAGTTTTACAGAAGTTTAAACAAAGAAATACAATTTGAAAAACATGTACAAAGCATATGTACATGTACATGTTTGTGTACATGTATATGTACAAATATGGCAAGTGCCATATTTCAAAATATGTATTTCAAAACATTGACTTCTTTCTTTATAAAACAATATACTGTAGCTGTTTAAGTTTAAATTTTAATATTTACTACAGGTATTCTTTTTTGTTGTAATTGAATCCTAAATACATCAGGAACAATATCCATGTAATAATTGATCATTAATAATAAATTGCATAGTGGTTCATTATAAGCAAATGCTATTCAGTAGGTTAATACATTTTATTTAATTTTCGTTAGTCAGGAAAAAAGAGCCAGGGCTCATGAAATGTCAGCCAAGGGCAAAGTGTTTTCAGTTCCTGCTGGGTGTGGTTTTTGGTTCTAGTTATTAAACAATTTCCTCTTTTCCTCCTTGTGAACATGTGGCACCTAGTTTGTATTGATATCATGTGAAAGGTCAGAATAAACGCACAGAAGTAAATAGCAATGTTTTATCTTAAGAATTGGCCTATTAAACTGGTGAAAGTGCCGAAAGTCAAGAGGAGTAGTTTTTTTTGTTTTCTACCAATGTTGACAGTTTCTTCAAAAAAGTATGGTATGGCTCAAATACAGTATGTGACTGACTGCTTCAGTAGTTCCCACGTATTGACAGGGGTAACTGAAACTGGAACCGTAATTTTTTTTCTGGTTCAATGATTTTAAGGTGTGTTTGTTTTTCATAGAGAACTGCAGAGTACAAAGCTGGAAATAAATGTAAGATTAAAAAAAAAAACATAGTTAAGAAAGAGCAAATGTAACAGACAACATTAGCTACATTTCAAGGACCCAGATATTATTTGGGACAAAATATTGTGTTCCCTCTTAGAAGGGACAAGTGGAAATCCATGTCATTTAACATTTCTCACCAATTTCTTTTTTTGCAGCTTTGTAGCTGAATCTGTGGCATTGTACGTGGAGATATTATATTACCGATCACGAGGAAACTCTTATGTAGTTATTATGAACTTATACTGTCTGGGTTCTGTGGAAATCAGCCAGAAGTCTAAACTTCACTATTTGGAAATTAGGCTTTCTGTGAAACTGTAATCCATGTTCAAATAATATAAACAAGGAAGTAAATACTGTGAAGTGATTTCTGAAATGCTGTGGTCAATAATTAAAAGGTAAAAGTGATTACTCAAGCGTCTTCTGAAATATGGAAGACTTACTAGTGTTTGTAATGTGATATATACTAATTTTATGTTACTTCATCTCTGTTGAGTGGCACTTAGTCTCCATAGGAACTTTGCAACATCCTTGCACTTGAACTGGCTGCTTTTTTGTGGTTTTATTTTCAATTTATGCTACTGTTACAGTATGTGTACAGTACCATTTGAATTTTGAATTTTAATAGATGCAATTCTTAATTGCTCTGCATAACAGCATCTGCCAAATAAATGAAAGTAAATGGAATGGATTGCATCAAAGAACAAACTTGATGTATAACTGAATTAGCATAGCAAGTGCAGGGATCAGCATTACTGCCTCGCGGCACCGGGGGGGTTCAGTTCCGGACCTGGGGTACAACCTGTTCAATGAGTTCAATGTTCTCCCCGCGTCTGTGTGGGTTTACTTTGAGCACTCCGGTTTCCTCCCACAGTCCAAAGACATCCTGGCAGGTTAATCCGCTTCTGGGAAGATCGGCCCCGGCGCTGAGTGTGTGCGTGTGTCTGTATTTCTGTCTGTCTGACCGCTCTGAGAAAGACGGGCTTACTGGATAGACTCCATCTCCCCTGTGACCCTGAATTGGATATAGCAGTTAGAAAAGAGGTGGAAATGGATGGATAAACCACCAAGCGATTGGCCCCCAAAGTCTTAAGACTTCTTTGACAACGGCTATGAGTGAAAAAGTCTGAGAATAATAATAATAATAAACTTTATTTTACATAGCGCCTTTAAAGGTGGCTTCTCAAAGCTCTTTACAGAATGACAACAACATTAAATAAAAAGAATACACAAGATAAAACACCATTACAATACACAGAGGAGACTGTGGATGGTGGTACTAAGTATAGTAGGAGCAGAGGGGTAAAGAATGGAACCAGTTAAGTAAAAGAAAGGGCATGAGAAGGAAACGAAGAGGAATCCATATAGCCTCGTGCACGCGTGTCAGGGCGCAGCCGCCCCAGGAGCCCTCGAGTTTCACCGCGCTGTGCTCTTCCTCTCCAGGAGCCTCAGCCAGTCCCAGGAGGCCGAGGAGGAGCAGGAGGTCTTCCTGGAGACCGAGCAGAAGCTGGAGAAGATCCGGCGCAGCCACCAGGAGAAGGAGAGCCAGGAGTTCGAGCAGCTCAGGCAGAAGCAGCTGGAGGCCGAGGCGGAGCTGGAGGAGCTGAACCGGAGGCGGGAGCAGCGCCGGCGGCTCCGAGAGGAGGAAGAGCAGCGGCGGGGGCAGGAGGAGCACCAGCGGCAGCTCAGGGGGGAGGTGAGGGCCGAGCAGCTCCGCGCCCCGGCGGCCGCTCCGGTCTCCGCTCTCCACGTGTGACAGACGGCTCGTTTCGCTTCTCGCAGATTATGCTGTACGAACCTCCAGCGTTTGTAAAATCGCCCTAGATGCACTTGTCCAGTCGTGGAGCCTTGAGGACGGAGGACTGGAGACCTCACTTGTAGGGAGACACAAGTTCCTGGATGAATTTATTATCCGTCTTGCACTTTGCATTTGATTCCTGGGTTCTGCTAATGCTCCTGAGCTAATTATTGCAGTGAATAATAAATGGTTAATCAATTATAGATATTTTGTGACTTTTGCGCTTTTGTTTTAGTCATGTAGGGTTGCGTGACCTCTTAAAAGAACTGATCATCGAGCACAGGGTGTGTATGGGGGCTGAGTTTCGTTTTCCGTTCTTCGCAAATGTTGGCTCCCGCCGAAGCGTTTTGCTGTTTTTGTCCGCAGTGTCTTGGCAAGTAGTTTGCTGGGTGGGAGCAGTGAGTGGCCTGGCCCTGGGGGGCGTCTCCTGTGATTAAGCAGAGTGAGTTCTCTCGCAGGAGGAGAGGCGGAGGATGAAGGAGGAGATCGAGAAGAGGCGGATGGAAGCAGCAGAGAAGCGACTGAAACACCTCAGCACTTCAAGTGCTGAAGGAGAGGAGCCTTTCAGCCCCCTCACCCCCAAAAGCCCGACTTTTAAGGTAGGCCAGCTCTCTGACCGGTGGAAGTCGGCATCACGTTCAGCACTCAGAGTTAGAAACAGCAGGACAAGGTTTACCATAAGAAGTGTCGTCAGTGGTGATAAAACGGTACCAACAGTGGTCAACAGCATTGGGGTGTTTCATTACAGTTCAAGCTGAAAGGTTTGGTGCCCGTTGATTTTTGTTTCGCTCATATTGTGTTAAACGCTGGATTTAAAAAACGATAAACATTTTAATTGGTACTTTTATCATTTTTATTCTTATGAATGCGATGAATAGTGGTGATTGCTCTTAGCGTGTTGCTGCAAGGAGCGTGTATGTTTAAAACCAACTTCCTTTTAGACGTCTAACATACTGAGGATGAATGTCTTATGTTTTTGTTTTTCTATGTCTTAACAGAAACTACTCATTGTTTTTTATCCTGTAAGTTATATGTTGGGATGGAGAAAAAGTTTTAGTGCGGCAGTGTGACTGAGGTATAATATATTCATCACATGCCTCATTTAGCCTAATCTTATATGGAAATAGTTAATCCCACAATGTGTTAATGAACACAGAATCATGGACTTACTGGACATCAGTTTGATAAGCATTAAAACTTTGTTTTTTAATGAAAATCAAAACATACTGTATAAAGCATATCTGTCTTGTTCTTTCTTGAGCAACAAACATAATATATAAATAAGAGGTATGTAATAAATATATGCATATTCTTAATTTAACCATTTATTATTGTCTCTGTCTGACTCTTATTATATTTGTAACTAAATGATGGTACTCATCATATATTTTCCTCAAGTGCTAATTTCTGCACTCTGAGTTCACTGCAATTCAACACCAGAACAAAGCTTACTGCTTATAATGTTCTGGAAAATTGTTTCCTAAAAATGCTTCTTTTTATGAAGACATTCCCTAATTCATATGGGTCAGTGCTTGTACCAGCAGCAGGCAGAGACTGATGAGCTCTCATGTTGTGCTGAGTGGGATGGCGTGGTGTCTTGTGCTTTGCTGATGTGGTTGTGGGGTTTGATCTGCTCATGTTGTGACATTTCCTGCATTTCTTCATGCACTGAAAGAATGTTGGGGAAGAACTGACCAGCTGACTTCATCTTTCCTGTTCTAGTAACACATGATAAACTCTTAGGAAATGACTTGTACTGTTTGTTGTGTGTTGCATGTGCAAGCTCTTTAGAAGCAACAACATTAAGTTTCTGTGCTTCTAACACTGTAACAGGCTAATACATAATTCTTACTTGTACCATTGATACATTAATGGGATATTGACCATATTTTTTTTGCATTTTTGAGCCATTTTTGCTATACCACTAACAGGGAACTATTTTGCACCCTTTTATCTATCTAGGTGTAGAGAAAATATAATAAAGACATTCTGGAAGAATAATTAAAAATACAAAAAAATGAGGTCCATAAATACAAAAAATGGAACTGAAAAGCAAGCATAATTTTTTTCCAGGGGCTGATTGTCTAGCACACTCTGGTCTAAAATTCTATTCTTACATGAATATATGGTAGGATTATACTTCTGAGTTATAAAAATATTTTTTCAGATATTTTATTAAAAACTGGGAAATAACATGACATACTGTATTTTTTTGTTTTTTGGTTATAAGAGTAACATTCAATTTTAATAAAATGATTTTTACACAGTTACTATGGATTTCCATGCCTTTTTTGCCTCATGTTATTACATCTGCATTAAACAATTTTTGCATAATAGGACAAGCAAATTGCAAAAATTGCAGAAAAGTTAATTGTTATGTTTTTCCATTAGATTAAGCAAAGTGATGCTAAAAATATCTGTATCAGTAGTGTAGCAGTTTTTAACATTTACTATTAACACTGTGGAAAGAAACACAAATGAACTAAATGTCTCCCAGTTTCTTTTCTTAATAATTTCTCTAAAATATACATTTACTGCTGGGTTGCAAAGGCGGTGAGCCTATGGCTATGGCTACTTTCCTGTTGCCCTCAATCTGCTCTGTCGTGTGCTTATCTGTGTAATTTCAGAATGAGAGTGAGGAGAGGGTGACAGCAGAAAATACTTACTCGGTGAGTCTGGATTCAGAGGCTAAGGAATTCAAGTCAATGTTATAGCTTGAGTGAAACATTATTTTAAGATGTTCCTTGCGCATAATCTTTTTGGCGTTTGCTTGGCTTTGGGAGCTCAAAAAGGTAACGGGGTTGCATGTCCTTTTCTTTTCCAAATCCCCCCCCCCCCCCCCGATGTTTATTTTATACATACTGTACACTTTGTGTTCAGGATTGTTACTTTTGTCAGGTTGTTCTTCTACAGAACCAAGGAGCTCTGGGTTGATAGCCAATCTTAAGTCATGTGTTGTCTTGCAAAGTCCTATATTTTCCAACCTATCTTCATGAAAGGGCGCTGTTTCTTTTGGTTAATAATGTGACTGCTGGCAAGAGTAATAACCATAGTACATGACAATAACATTGTGAGGTTATTCCTAAAATGCCTTCCTTCGACATTTTTATAAATATCCTATAACGATGCAAAATATGCACATATTTCAAACTTAAAATGTGATTTTTATCAACAGTTTTCTGCATTTGGATTAAAGAACAGTTATATTTATTTTTAATTAATAATTAATGTTTAGAACATTATGTAGGTAATATAAAACCTTGTTTAAAATGTTTATATTTTTGCTAGAAGGAAAATAAGCAGTTAATCTTGTTTATGTTGGACCAAATTTTTAAGAAGGATTTTTCCAATGTTACTAGAAGAGTGCAGTTTGGTTTTCTCAGGCATTCAGTCATAATACTGTTACCACTTTACAAACACTCTAGATATTTGTTATATAAATATTTAACAAGTGTTGGAGATAACACATTATTAAGGTGTCAAGAGTACCATTAAATCGCAAGCTGATAAATGAACATCAGAGTGGCATTGTGTTACTGCTATATTTTATTTGTGGCAGCATTGTAAAGAATGGTTCAACAACAAGTCTAAAATTTAGGATTTGTCACATTTTTTTGTAAAGGTGCTTTAAAATTACTTTGTTAGCTACGATAGTGACTCCACAACTTCAATATAGTCTACTGGTATCTTAAAATTCACACAATATGAGATATTCCTTGAAAATGCACAGTAAAGCTGTATTGCAATATTAGTGTACCAGTTGCATTTTGCAAGTGAAAAACAGAATTGTTTTCATGATGATGTAGGGATACACATGATTTTGAAAAGCTGTATAACTTGGACTCTAAAAACTCTAACAGGATAGAACAGGGTAGAAGATTGGTGCTAATAATAGAAGCCTTTAACAGGGTGTTGATTAATAATTGGATAATAGAAACATTTTAAAAGAAAACAAAAAAGTGACCTGAGAGAGTTTTCTTCTTTATTTGTAGATAACGGAGAGAACAGAATCTTTGAATCGGTCCTTGAAGAAAAGGTGAGTTTATTTGAACACACCCAAGAAAATGACACTATCTTCTAGTAATATTGGGGATTTAAAAGCATCCCAGATTCCCACTGTCTGCTGAAGAAGCCCTGACACTACTAAGACTGATAGACTGAGTCAACATTGACTAACTCTTGACAGGGAAGGCCAAGTCATCACTGGTCTGTTCCATGCTTTCTGTTGCACATTTTGACAGCTGTGATTTATACCAGTTCATTGTAACCAGATGTTAAGTCATTATCTTGTTACGATGCCTTTAAAGATATTACTCTTAACCATGGCATGGCTCCAGTTTGTCTGTACTACTTAGTCATTATCATTCAAGATAATTCCTGATTGGTTCTCAGATATAATAACAACCTTAACTACCTGATCTGTGCAATCTGTGACCTTAACAGGTTTGATTTCGAGATATAATTTTATTTTTGCTCAGAGTTTCAGTTGCATTCTCACTCTCTTATCCAAAGTATTTCAAAAGAAATAACAACACCAGAGTATCAGGTGGTTTTTGCCAATGTTTGTTGAGTATTTTAAATATAATATATTCAATAATATAATATGTTCCTTTAATAATAAACTTTTGGGTTAACCCAGTTGGTTTAGGGGCAGGCTCCTGGCCACAGTACAAGGAGGCTGGGACCCCCTCACAGAATGAGGCAGCTCTAAATCTGGAGCTGAGGTGGAAGGGAGACATGTGAAGTGAAATACAGTTCGAAAAGAGGCGTTTGCATGTGATATACAGTTTACAGTTAATGCTGGGAATGATTATGATTTAGAACAGCTGGACAAAATTGGCTTGTTTGTCATCATCCATCCTGAACTTCAGTTAAGAACTTCCATTAATCAGCTAGACTTAACGGATAATTTGGATCCTACAGTATATATGCTTTTGCCTCCGGGCAGGCACAGTCTCATTGAATTCTGATGATCTCTCCGTCTCCAAGTCTGCACAAATAGTGGTGTTCCTCTGTGTTTCTCATTAGTAACTATAAACCCCAAATATTTCTTCTCTCTCACTAATATGTATAACTAATATATAGTAGATCTTATGAAATCCATATCTCCCTGAGAAAACACCAGTGTTTGCCAATTTTCATCTGTACTGTATATGCAGAATGTGAGAAAAATGGAAAATTGGTTTGTTTTAGGGCATGATTAAAATATCAGTTGATTTAAAATACTTTGTACTTTTTCTTTGCTATAAGGTGGAGGGTAAACTATTCCTGTAATAAGATCCCCTTAACCCATGGAAAATTCCTTCTGAGAGCCCTGCTTTGCTGCTTTTTGTTGTTAGTTACAACATTGTAATTTTGATTGCATTGTTTCTGTGGAAAAATGTATTTCCCAGTGATAAGAAACATTTCATGGGTTAAGGGGAGTGCTATAACAATAAAGGCCTCCAGCACTGAACTAGCAAATCTGGATAAGACACAAATACCTTGGTAGTGACATCATCATGTGAGAGTATTTCACTGTTTTCAGCAATAAAGGATTGTTTTCCTTTTCATTGTCAGATTTAATCTGAGCGGTACTCATGCATAGCTTATAGAGGAACATGGGAAGATGCAGACAGCAGAAAATGAAAACATTATTTCAAAGAACTGAATAGTATCCAGGAAAAGATATTTTGGTCACTGAGAATATTCTTACTTGAACAATAATCAGGAATGAGAAAATGAATTACTCAAGATGCCCCGTGATCATGATTTTTATGTTCTCCTTTCTTAAGATGTTTTTGATCTTATTTTTATCTTGGCATGTACGACTTTCTTAGCCTTGAGCAAACAGCAAGGTTTCCTTGTTATTTTTCTACATGTGTCATGTGGAGTTTTAAACAAGCTCAGGAGGAGGTCAAACCCTAATCTCGCCCACTTCCTCTTATCCGCAGACAGTATAGCTATCACACATCTTGCCGATTCATTTTCTGGATTTAACTTCCACACTCCTCACTCTGCCTCATCTTCGCCTTTGCAGCTGCTGCCTGAATTATTCCTCATAAAAGGTGTGGGCATTGTGACAGGCCCTTTCTCATGGGTGGGCTGTCATTCTTCTCAATCAGATGAGTTTACCCGAATAAAAACAAGTGTTGAAATTGCTCCTTCTTCTTCTTGAAATGTGTAATGATTTATTTTATTTGGGCCATTCCATAGTTATAAACTAGTGTTAAAGCATTGCCTGAGTGCTCTAATAAGCTAAAGGATTTAAACAGATGGTTGTAACAGGTTAGGCTTACAAAAGCTAACAAAACCTTCCATGAACTGAAAAACTCATCTTTCTAAATAAATGGTTTGACTTTTTTGGAGCCTGATAAGCATTTTTACAGCATAACGTTTGTAATTCAGTCATCGTCTCTTTCTGGGAATAACAAAACAACCACTCTTTAAAAAAAAGAACCCTTTCTAATAGGGTTGAGATCAAGATCAAAAACCAAACTTCGTTACACCCCTGTTCTTGATGTGTAGATATCTCTGAAAAACAGATAAAACACTAGGAACAGTTCATATTTTATGTGAGTTGCATAATTTAAGGGTATGAATAATTCTCTGCAGGACATTACATCATGCGCTTTCATGAGAAAACACATTTATCATTGCTTTCATGGAAAAATTCTCATAGTCTTTAGCACTTAACACTGGAATCAAAGTACATTCCTTAGGGAAGGAGAATTAAGTTTTCAAGTGCCTGATTAATCATCTAACTTTATCATTCAAGCTTATACTCATTTCTAAAAAATCTTAATGATAAAACATGGTTATATAGTTTTATACACTGCAGACATTTCTCTACCCACAGTGAACAAAAAGAAGTCCTTTAAGGTCTAAGAAGTCCTTCTGGTCTCTTTAATTGTATAGGCAAGTTCTTATTTTAACACTGTAGATAATAAATAAACTTTTATTACTACTACATTCCATAATGCATGAGATTGAACAATCATTAGGTGGACTTATGCCTTATGACTTGAGACACAGACTTAACCCTTTACATACAGTAGGTCAGATTGCACATCTGCTAATGCATCAGTTTCTTTTGAAACAGTAATAGTGTTAAGAAGACACAACCCCCTGTGCCCATCTCCAAGATTGATGACAGGCTGGAGCTGTACACTCATGCCATTGAGGTAATCATTTCTGTGTTTCTTTCACTTAGACACTTAACTCACCATGTTTCTTGGAACGCTGCAGTGATTAATCTTTTTGATGCATCTTGCAAAGACATGTTTCCTGTCTACATGCTCTATAAAAATACTCAGTAACTGTGATGGTGACAGTGCATTCTAGACACACTCTTGCAACAGTGATTGGATTTGAAACATGTTATCCACCAGGGCTTCTGAGTGGTTTGACCAGTCAAAGATGTTTTCAGGTTGTGATCTTTAGTCCAGACTTTGCTGGTTTGAGCCTGTGCTTTGTATTAAAGTAAATGAGGATGAGATAACTAGGGTTAGAGTAACTCTCATGAGGGTTCGATTTAGTAATCCTTAGCTTGCCATGCAATAATGACTTTGAGACTTACAGTAGCAGACGCCTCCGAGATTGTGTTGTCTGTGAGACACTTTGTTGCTCCAGTCAGGGTTAACTTTTCTGTAAGGCATCACGGAGTTTGCAGCAAATCCAGTGATAAGAAGCATCCAGTAGGCAAGTTTGAAGGACTTAGTTCTGTCTGTACTGGTGCAGGGGTCAAAGAGGTGAACTGAGATGATTAACCATTTTAGATTTAGCCTGAAAGTAGGAGGTTGTCATCCTCCAATGAACATTTGACTTACTTAACCTTCCTTCTCCTGTGACCCTTTACCTTTCCTGTCTTTTCAATAGAGTTATTTATGTAAGACTTTGTTCTTAAAAGGGGTGAAAGTTCATGTTAATTATATAGTGTTTCTGCAGTCTTAGGACCTTCAGTAACTTCAGCAGTGGCAGATCAAAGGGATTTCCCCTTCAATCCTTGTGCTGTTTTCAAGAATGTATTCGTATGCCCCCCTGGCTAGGTTTTCACCTGGTTTGGAGAACAGCTTTATCTGTGTATATGTGGAACAATATGTGGAACAATTATATTTTTTGGGGACTGACCTACACGGTTGTGAAATCACCATCTGCCTTTTTTAATTGCAGTGCATCTGTGTTTAGCAGATGCTGGTATTTTGAGATGAAGTCACCCCTAGCAACCTTTCAGCAACATTTATACAATTATAAAATTGCATGGAAAAACATGTTTACTGTATAAAAATATTCTATTTTATTTAATAGATTGAGTTCTATTGAATATCTACTGCATTTTCAGTCTCAACCCATTTGTTTGCAAGAGTCCATTTATTGCTATGCTATTTTGCAGCCTGGTTCCACAGAGTACCCTGTCTCTAATTTACACTTCATCTTGGCTATTACTATTAATTACTTAGACATCTCTTTATCAAGACTTGTTATCCACTCTTAAACATCAGCGTTTGTCTGACGCCTGAATTATTCATCATAAAAGGTGTGGGCATTCTGACAGGAGGAAAGTTCTGTTGTCCATTTCTTGACAATGTGCACTTATATCAAGGTATTTTTGAAACAAAAATCGAGTGCAGAAAAAAGGCCTAATAAAGCAAATAGTTTAATTGTGTACTTATCAACAGTAAAATAAATCATTTGGAATGAAAATCTGAAGACTCTTGCCACATTTGCTCTGTTAGTTATGTGTTACATAGATATGGACAACATAGCTTTTAGAACAAAAAGCAAGGAGTTACTGGTATTTAATTGCAATTAATATCGCTACACATAGCCAGATGTTATCTCTGCATTAATTTGCTCATCCTTTATGTATGTCACTTGCCTGATGATTGAAGAGCTCCACCAAAGAGACAAGAGCAGCAAAACAGGCTGTGGTGGACATTCCTAGCCCTTCTGAGCCTATCTCCTCCAAGAAGAGTCTGTTTGAGGCAGAAGCTTGGAGTCAGTCATCAGCCAAAGGAACACCATCCAAGGCAAGTGGTGGTCAATTATATTTCTCTTGGACCCCTGTCTAGTTTTGTATTACTCATCCTAATTGTTATACAGGTACAGTATATATACACCTAACAGCTCTGCTTAATATACTGTATGCACTGTATTAATTAACAGAATTTTCTTCATTTTCCTACATCGAAAATGTGCTTGCTTCCACTCGCTATTCGCAAATCAACTTGGATTTGGTCTTGGGTTGTAAGTGATGTTTCTAATTTGCTTTGAATTATTTAGGTTTCATAAGTAAGACAAACTCCCATGCTTGCAAGCTATGCAAAGGACAAATAGTGCTGTATTGGATAACTACCCTGAGACTATATGGTTAAGACTTCCACAAATATTTAATTTCATCTGATGCACGTGGGTGTTCCAAAACATGTTTGTTTTACCTAGTTTAGCAGCGTGGTGGAGGTAAGAAATCACAGTGTAAATGTGCCAAAGTTTTTATTAGGTTTTTAATCAATTAGTGAGTAACAGCATAAACATGTGAAGACATCATGCCTTGGGCGTTTCATTTCACTAGCTATCTTTTTTATCTTGTTATTAAAAGCATCACAGAGCATCAATTAGCAACACTCCGGTGAACCACATTCAACGACAAAAATCGTTGCAGTACTTGTAAACTCAAATTTCATAAGAAATGCTACTGGAGTTACTAGTAGACTAATTACATTTTCTGGGATCTCCTGCGATTAGGGTTACAAATCTAACAGCTCTAAATGACTGTGGGCTTTCCTTGCTCTGCTCAGATACAGTAGAATTATAAGTTGATTCCTCGTTCTTCAGCCATCATGGAAGGAACAGGGGGTGCTGCTGCACTCTTCAGTGATATGGGTTCTGTCTCTCTCAGGACACAGAAGGACTAAAGGTTGGAGTGGCTGACCTGATCACACAGTGGGTGAAAGGAACCGATGACTGCAGCACCAAGAACTCCCCTTCCAAACCAGCTGTAAGTCAGAGTGCAGTTAAGGCCAGAACATTTAAGTACAGCCATTTCTTTGTTCATTGAATGAAAACTGACTGAAGGTCTGAACTCTTGTTAAAAGATCTAAGGGTGTCTAAGCATAGATAAGTTTTTATGCACAAGAAAGTTTGGGAATGTGCACATATTCATATTAAGCTAAACTGTTCTGAATGGAGTAACACAGAAAGATCACTTGTGCCTAAATTGGTGTTTAGAAATTACTTTAAATGACTCATATTTGAGCTTTTGTGTGACTTTGTGAGGACCACTGAATATAGTTGCATTTTGATTTGTAAGAAATGAGTAATTTACCTCAAAAGCTATACTTTTTCTAAGTAGTATTAGCCTAGCAGTGGTAAATTTCACAATGGTGACATCATTTGCTTCCTGATTGATTCATGATTATGAGAGCAGTATCCTACTGATTCTGAAGGTTTTGACTCATACTGTAGGAGAAATTACTGAGGTTATGTTCTTGAGTTGATCAAGCTAAAACAGTGGTTTCTGATGATTAAAAAATAACTGGTGTGCTTGAAAATATGTACTACTACTGAAGTAATGTTTTTCAAGTATAATTTAAAATTCACCACTTAGAGCTATCAAGCTCCTTAAACAAACTACACATACAGTGTGTATCTGATGGATTTCCTCCTTTTCTTACTCCTTTTCTCCTTCCTCAGTTTTCTTATTCCAACTTTCCTCATGTATTGGATTTTCCTTAATCTCCTTTAAGGTAAATTTCTTTTTCAATTTAAAATAGTTTGTTTGTTTGTTTGTTTGTTTGTTTATTCAGAGCTACTGTTATCCTTTCTTACACTGGTTGAAGATATCAAGTAGGTTTGATGACACTGCAGTTCATGAGGCAGATGTTTTAGCTGATGCCTTTATTAGTGCGTCCCTGGACAGGGATATTGCAGATATTGGAAGCCTAAGAGGAATGTCATTTTCTGATGTTACTGTAATGTAGCAAAGGTGTGACAGTTAAAGAAGACAAGTCACTTAGTTTGGTTATTTCTTATGAGCAGCCAAGTATAATTGATAAAATATGCTTTAATCAGATTTTAAATATTTTTGAAGGGCACTGTAGATTGTATGACACTCTTTTGCATTAAATATAATAATTTTCTAAAATTGTCCATAAATATCACCAGTGAATGGTGTGATTTGTCTGAGACCCTGTATTATTAAATTAAAAGCTGCTAAATGGACTCCAGTTACTGGCATTCTTTCATTGAATTTGCATTTCAGTTGTAGGTTTGAGACATCTGAAGCTCACCTGGTTCTGAATTTTTATGTTTTGTACCAGTTATTATAAAGAATGCAGTTTAGTGAAAATGCCTTTTGCTTAAAGAAAGTTTTGAGATTACTGTGTAGCTTCACTTTTTAAGCTCCTGAAAGATGTCTTGTGTTGTTTTATGACCCAAAATAAAGTTGTCATTTAATGCTTAACTATTATGGAACTATTAAGGTGAAATTTTGTATTATTTTGTTTTCTTGTATTTTGTCATTGTTCCTCGTACTATATAACCCTCTCTCTCTCTGTCTCATTCACTATCTCACCCTAGGTCTTAACATATTTAGTAGTATCAGAAAATCACATTTCCTGTCTTGTGAAAGAGGAGGATTACATCACTGACTAATCAACATATACTGTTATATGTTATGATGCTGACAGTTGCTAAATGATTTAATGTGACGTGATTGTGCATTTCAAATTCTAAATTGCTATAATAGCTGATTGTCCATTGCTTTTGTTATTTCAGGACTTTAAAGTGGGTGATGTTTTGCACAAGAAAAGCTTGTGGGAGATAAAAGGAGATTCTGCTTCATCAGTAAAGACCGCTTCAGTCATGAAGGTAAGTTCCACACTTTTGTTTTCTTATATATAACTTTATATAAAATTAAGTTTCATATTGGTTTAGACAGGCTAATGAAAACTGTCCACAGATGTAGTTAATCTGTTTGTGATTGAGCTCAACTGTGAATAAAATACAAACTATGAACGGTGTGATTTGATATACTGTAGAATAGTACAGTACACTGTGCTTTTGAAACTTGTCATACTTTAAGGGGTCTAGTCAACACTCCTTTGACATTTGATTTTGTTTAAAAATTCTTATTATCATTTATTTTTTTCATGAAAAAGCACAAAATTCAGTTAAGACCATTTGTTGTTACATTTAAGACTTAGAAGGTCTGCAAAGACCTTTTTAATGTTCTAAATGTTAATGTTTTCTCTTTTAGGGTACTCCTTCTGGTAAAAGGTACAAATTTGTTGTTACTGGACATGGAAAATATGAGAAGGTCCCAATCTCTGATAATGACCACAATGAATGTACAAATGGAAAATCAAGTAAGACGTTTTGACAATTCTAGCATTGCTTAAATGTATATTAATGTGCTGAATTGTTAATATTTCACTAAGTTGTGTTATTTCACAGAATGGTGGGAAGAGATCGGATTCTAATTTTGTACCCGTGCCGCTCCCTGGCTCATTCCTCGTAAGTGAGGATGGGCTGTGGATGCACTGAGCTCGGGCCAGGTCTGTCATTTCTTCAGCCAGGAGAGTTGATACCAAAGCATATTCCCTTTATATTCATTGGCTCGTTTCTTTGTTAGAGTTCAAAAAAACACCTGAAGCGGAAAGTTGTGGAAAACCGTGGAAAGCAATCTTGTAAACCGATTTGCCAAGATAAAGGTGCAGATGAGTATCTCCCAGAGTCTGATGATCTGCAGTTCAAGTTGCAAAAACTTATAATAGAGGTGCATCTACTAATGATTATTTCTGACACAGAAATGATACACTGGTACAATTCCCATAATCCGAAAAATATAGTATAAATTATTTTTTGCCAAAAGATTAATACTTTAGTTGTTGGTACCACTTCAGTGTATTGATTCCCAATTTTACAAGATCAGATTTTACCAAACCCAATACTTTTATTTTTTAAAATGTGGGAAAAAAAAGAACCATACCTCCTCTTTGAAGGTGAAACTCTGTCATGTTACATCATTCAACTCTCAAAAAAGCATAGTAGAATAAGAAAATGACTACACTAGTAACTGTTTCTGTTGTAGCATGTATAGTATGAAGTTAATATGTAAACAGCTGAATAAATTAATAATCTAGTCCTCAACCATTGCAAACAAACCCCCCATTTAGAAGCCATACTTTCCACAATTCACATTTCCTGCTTTATGTGCTGCAAGATTGAATTCACAGGTCACCACTATTGACCTTATCCTGGTGCTGGCAATCTCATTGACATGTGCCTGCAGCTGTTGAACTGTTGTGCCCTGCATGGAACCTCTTGGTCTCAAATAAGTTGCTGCTGTGATGACACCTTAAATTGTGCATGAGCAATCTGTCCACAGTTGCTAATGGGAGTAACACTCAGCTAGGGCCGTGAGGGAGTTGAGTTGGTGATAACTCACACAGCTGCTGTGACTGGAATCCTCCTCTTGCACTTCAGCCATTATTGCTCCAACTGCTCAGTTACGTAATAATGAGCAGTAATATCACAGTTCCAGAAACACCGTGGTCGTTTTCTTAACCTCCTTTCGCGGAAATTGTTTTTTTGTTTATAGAAAAGTTATTTTTAGGAAGAGGTATTCCCACAATGTCATAATATCTTTAAAGACAAAACATGCATCTTGACAAGGTCAGTAATTGTGTGTGTTACAGAAAGGAGGATACATTACTGATGTAGAATCACGATGGAGTAGATGTGCTTCATTAATATATTTGCCCTTGGTTTCATCTCAAAATGCTTATCTAAATCTGTGGCAGATTAAACTGACTTTGCTACCTGTCCAATATCTTCTTTGCTGTCCTTACAAGGCCTCTCTTAAGAATTTATCTTAATGTTTTGCAACTTGTTGTGAAATTTGCATTGGAAAATTTGAAAAAAATCTATTGCAGGACAACATATAGTTGTCCTGTTGTTTTAAAGGATGGATCTCAATAACATCTCAATTTCCCTTTGGGATCTATAAAGTCTTATCTAACTGATAAATGAGCAGAATGTATTTTGCACTAAATGAAATATCCCCAATATATTATACTGAACTTTGGTGCTTTGGGTATTCTTTGTGAACTATTTCACAGATATAATTGAAGTCACATGTTTCAGGAAACTGTTAGAATACCAAAGCGCTAGAAACAGAAGAGCAGTTCTGTAATGATAAATTACTGCATTGTTTCAGTTGCTCCTCATCTGAATCTATTATTTTTAGCTATATCTGCCAGCATCTTTTCTGAGGTTAAGACTGATGTATTGTAAATGTTTTGCAGTTTTGTTTGACCTTCTTTGTGTTGGCGTTAGTGGACTGAGGTGACATTTTATAATTCCAGAGGTCTGCAGTTTGAAACCTGACAGATTTGAATGATCTCAGGCAGAATGAGGATATGATCTAAACACCTTGCTCCTTCTTGTCCAGCTGTGATCAGCTGTCTCAAAGGATACAAAAGACACCACAATACAGTTTGTCAGAGAGCAGCAATTTAAGTTTTGTGCAAAAATACAAGTCACATAAAATGTGCACTTTTTGTAGCTTTGCAGAAATTTATGCAGACTACATACATACAGCAGACAACATACAGTATATCCATACATATATTTCTATACAGATTTATATACAGCTGACAACAAAATCTGTTCTTGAAGGTAATACAACTTACAGATTTACACATGTATGGGGACAGGCCTGAAGATACAAATGAGATCTTCCCTAATGTTTTCAGATTCCTTTTCTTAAAGAAAACAATATATACAGTGACAGGTGAAAAAAACTCACTTATTAGTGTAAGTGAAATGATGAGCTTCTAAAATAGAATAAATAAATGCAAATGATTATAAATAAATGGGTAACCAAATCAATTTCCTTCACAACTTTGACAACTGCTGATTAACCTGACCTGTAAATAGAAGTAGACTTTGTCTTATGATGTGAAGGATTTCAGTTTATTTTAGATAGCTTTGAAGTAAAATTGGAAAAAGTATTTAAAGTACTGTATTGCTAAATTATAATATACTATGCTATATTTAAGTCCTTATTCATTATACCTTTAATGGTACAGTGTTATATCTTTGTTGCCTTCAACAAGGCCAGGTCTATTCCTGCAATAGAGGTCTTTTATCTTGCTATTACCAACCACACTTAATATAAATAGTCTTCAATCTAACACTTAAGAGTAACAAACCTTCATCTAACAATTAAGTTTCAACTCAAATTCCAAATGTTGGGATTTTGTATTATTATCAATGGACTAATTATTATGGAGCTGTGGTAGCTCAGATGGCAAGGATGTCCGGCTCCTGACTGGAAGGTCCTGGGTTCAATCCCAGCTAGGGGCAAGTGATGTAGCTTGCTCTAATTCCTTCCAGATGGCTCCCAGGTCCGCTCAGCCTGCTTTCCAAATGAGCTCTGGGTGCTAATTCTTCCAGGGGAGATAGACTGGCCAGAGCGTGATGCTGACCACATCACCTCCACCTCCAGTGTTGGATAGTCTAGGAAAAACGGTGGCCCTTGTCCCCCATTCCCACTGGGCTTTTATGGCCTGAAAAGGGACCTACTGTACCTCCCTGCTAATTATTCTATGGTACTTGGTTTCCTCTTTAAGGAATTTTGTTGTCCTGTTGAACTAAAGGATGTATATTCATTGTCAGACAGTCTTCTGATAATTATCACATTTCTGAGGATTGGATTAATTTTAAGTCAATGAAAATCTGTAACTGTGAATCAGATCTAATCTGATAGAAGGACATATTGCATTTGCAATACTAACTGTAGGTCACAAATTTGATCTGTGGGCCTTATCCCTTATGTACGCAATTTGACCTGTTTTCAAATGTTACAATGATAATAGATTTTAAACTTGCCTAATTCAAAAAATGATATTCCTTAAGGTAGGAAGGTAAATCCATTTGAGCCACATACAGGAGACCCTGGTGCATTAGGCCAGAGTTTACCCAGTTTTCGAGCTGTGAAGCCATCAGAGAGCACATGACTCCTGCAATTCTATCACAGGAATCATGCCCACCAGTGCTGGTTTCTATTTTTATAGGCTGGGTGGACTAGAGCAACTGGGGTAAAGTACCTCACTCAAGGTAAAACAGTGGTGTCTGTTCCTTAAAGATCCTCTAAGAATGTTGGTTATTTTGTGATGTGAAACATAGACATATGTAAAATAGTGCAACCCTAATTCCAAGTTCCAGGAAATTGTACACATTACAACCAGAAGAGGAAACAATTCGCCTTTTTCCCTAAGCCAACTTAGCATTACACTATGTAGATGTGATTTAAAGTGCTTTTCATTTTGGTGCATGGTCTTTATCAGTGAATTGGTGTGTTTTTTTGGTCTCTACAGTTCTGGATCTCATTCTACCTTGTAACATTACTCAACCCCAACTGTTAAAAAGCATTTCTTTTCAACAACAGACAGGAGTGTTCAGGCAGCGTTCATTTATAACTTTGCTGTCCTGTTCCATCAGGCCTTTCTTGTGAAAAGCAATCTAGAGTAAACTATCCATACAATTACTTTAATCCATAACTCACAGGAGCCTTTCCATCTTATGTACACATATATTGTGTGTCTCTCTTCAATCTAAATTTCCAGAAGCAAAACATTATTTGTCAATTGCTCTGTGCAGATCCACACCTTATTGAGTATGCAGAGGCTCAATACATTTTTCACCAGATATGCTTTAGTTTTTCTGATCTCAGACCTTGTCCTGCAACACTGCACTTCCCTATACCTGCAATTAAAAACCAGTCATTCCAGGAATGCCAACATTAACTCCTTCTTATTTAAAAGACATCCACAACACCAATATGCACCTTACCAAAGTGTTCTGTGATCTCCATTGTGGATTAGACATTGCTATATGACACACCTCTCTGAGTAAAGCAAGAAATGTATTACATTTAGCAAGGTTAATGAAGAGTTTCTCAACAAGTTTTAAAAATAAGTGTTTAAAAATAAGAATATGTAATGTTTCTCACCAGTTTAGAGGATATATTGCATGAAAACTCATTTGTTTTCTGTTGCCTTGGGTTGAATCCAATCTAGACTAACCTTGAACCTGTATTAACTAGTGGGCCCTGAAGGCTTCATTCAGTAGGAGAGGTTGATTTGTTTTAGTTCCTCATGCAATTTCACAGATAAAATAATGCTAAAAATAATTAATTGGCCAAGTTTCTTTAATTTCTGTTATTAAAAAAAAACAAGTGAGTGTAAGTGCACAGTGAAATGGGGTTTTAAAACAAATGTCCAGGAGGTGGTCAAACCCTAACCTTATCCACTTTTCACTAACTTGAATTTTATCTTCTGATACTCCATCTATCCATCCAATGTCTAATGCCAATCCAAAGGATGCCAATCCTTCACAGGGCGGACAGGCACAAAACAAGTACACACTCACACCAGGGTCAATTTCACCAGACGCCAGTTCATCTAACAGCATGTCTTCGGACTGTGGGTGGAAACAGGAGCACACAGAGGAAACCCATGCACACATGGGGAGAACATACAAACTCCAAACATATAGCACCCCAGGAACTGAACCCAGGGGCCAGTGCTAGCCAGCAATGCTAACTACTGCTGGACCTGGGACTTCATCTTCCCTTAAAATGCAATCCATGAAATGATAAAGGTCTTTTATTTTCCTTTGTGGTGCTGAATTTGTAATCAACACCACAATTTTATATAATACACTTATAAAGAGTAGAAAATATTTTTTAACATAATGACATGCATACTGAGCATCAAAAGAAACTTATCACTCTATTCCTGTATGTATCTTTTTAGGACAGATAAAGTGTACAGATTTATGGTATTACTTAAATGTTTTGGCATACTTTTGATTGATTTTTCCTCACTGACTGTGATACAGTTGATTGACTTTGTAGCATTTAGTATTTAATAATCATCTCAATAATGAAAGAGCTCATTGCTGAGGTGATTTAAACTGTAGAATGTCAATCCTGCTGAAAATCAAGAATGGTAAACACAGAAAAGAAGCAGTATGCTCCAGTTATCAAGAGACAACTCTTAATGCCATTGGTATTTTGGAGGCTGGACTAAATCAGCGCACTGTTACTGTGCCATGTGTCACGAGCTAGAAATTTCTAACCTGAAAACATGTTACAGCCAAATAGTTTGTCAGTGACATCTGGGAGACTGTGAGTCACAAATCTCACCAAGGTGAACAATTCTCAGGTTCTACCTTCATATTTCACACTTCCATTCCCCTGCATCAGGAACACTAGGTTACAGTAACTTGTGAATAATCTGTAAGGGGGCAGTTAAAATGTTAACATTTGCAGTCCACGTAGCCACACAGGGCCCTGTAGTCACCAAAATTCATTTGTGCATCAGAATGAGGTGTTTTGAGCACCACCTCGGTGGACTTGCCAGTAATGGAGTGAAGTCCACTTCAGCAAAGAATCAACAGATCAATGAGGTGAATCAAGAGTTATAGTCAAGGCGGGTGTCTCCATTTGGTATAGCACACCACTTGTAGAGATAGATACCTGTCTGCATGGCACTACATTGACTTAGTCCTCAAACCTCATTTGCTTCAGGATTTTCCTGATGTGACAGTATTTCAGTATGAGAATACACATCTTCAAACATAAGGTTTCTGGGAAGATGAAAATGTGCCGGTTAAATCAAGTAGGTCCTACTTGCCAGACCTGAGCCCCACTGAACATCTGCGGAATGATTTGGGACATCATTTTTTGCATCTTGAGCTCAGAGACCAGTGAATTATAAATGTTTGTACAGGTTCTGTGAGAGGAATGGGAGAGAGTCCCTCAAGACATTATCACCAATGCAGTGCAATGCATGCAGATGTACAGTTTGTATTGTTTCAACCACACCTGCTATGAGTCCCTGACTTGCACAGTAAACCCCTTGTTGATCAACACAGTTGATGATTAATGTTCATCATTATAATTAATTTCCTGCTACAGGAAAAAAAAAAAGATATTTCCCCGATTAAATAAAACGTTTAGGATGTATTGCAGTAATAAATTAGATTTTCGTTAGTATTTTTCTGACAGTAGAGAAGTTTGGTTTAGACAAAATGCAAGATGTCATTTTAAATCAAGGGTTTTTTAGAGTTATTCATCAGCAGAAACAGAATTTGAAGTATAATTAGCATCTTGATCCAGAAGGCATCGGGGTATCCATATTTTATGAGCTATGTTATGAGCTCATGGGGTACAGGAACCTATTAATGGAATAAATGTCATCCATCACCAAATAATTACACAGTCAATATGAAAGGTAAATCTGAAATCCCCAATAAAACATTTCTTCTACAAATAAGTTTATTTTGCAATGCCAAAAACAGTGAAGTTTCTTTTGGGTGGTTCCTGTTGTCTTTCATAATTTTAATGCTTGTAGTAGAATAATTCTTCATGATGTAAATACAAGAAAAAGTTTAGAATGGAAACCAGGAGCTATTTATTGAATTAGTTCAACCTTTTACTCATCTTTCTCATTTCAACAACTTTTCTGGCATTTTTCCAAAAACCAGTTGGCTTGGTAGACAATTATCAACAATAATTGTTGTTATCGCTGTCTGTAACAGCAGATATCTGTATCTGTAAGTATATGAGACACTTGCCAATGCATGGGTGGTCTCATCAGTTGTAAATGATATGACAAAAATCTGATTTCACATACTTTTTGGCATTTATTTGAAATATTCAGTGCTGCAAGTGTTTATTTTATGCCTCCCTGAGGGATAATTGTACAATTATTCATTTTGGTTTTTTTGAACAGGATATTTTAAAAAAGGTTGTCTTTTAAATATTTTAACAGCTATGATTTTCCAAGCAAGAATTAATCAGTAATATGCCAAAGTCTGTGTTTGCCTCATTGTATATGAAGGACCTCCATTGATTAGTGTCTAATTCAGCGGTTTAAGTCAGAGCTGCTCACAGCTTTTTTATTTATGATCCCACCCTTTTGCCTTTCTGTTGAAGTCTTTAGGTTCTTCATCTGTTTGTTTGCGATTTATCAAGCCCATCTCAAACACAGAAGTGATTTTTGTCAGTGGTCTTGAAGCAGCTTCTTTTAACTTTCTGGCATCAAAGCGTGGTTTGTACAGGAGCAGAGGCAGATGATAGATAAACGATGGCAGGTTCTTTTTCTCCTCCTTTTCTGAAGCTCTTTTCTCAGGTTCACTCTTGGTGTTGTTTATGTGCTGCATAATGCATTCTTTGGCAGAAAACATTTGAAAGAGGACAGCATCCCACATTTTAGTTGCCCGGGAGTCTTTGTGTTTTTCCACTTCCTGACTTCCTGCCTGGTTGCTGTTTTCTGATGTTGGGGGTTTGTCCTCTTTCTTTCCTTCTTTATCATCTGCATTTTCCTTTTTGGGTTCAGATTCAGGCTCAGGAAATTTTGGCTCTTCTGGTTCCACCACCATGTGCTTCTTAAGCCGAGACCAGCCACTGATCTTGGACTTTAGGCCTTTTGGCTTTTGTGGTACCTTCAGCAGAGATTCTGCTTTTGGAAATGAGTTGCTTTCTTGACCATTCTTGTTTAAACTTGAGAGTTCAGTCTCTGATGATGTTGTTTTTTCTTCAGAAGCAGTGCCCTTTTTATCTGTGCTTTCAGCTTTTGGTTTTTGCTCCTCATCTTTAAGCACATCACCTTCTTGAAATGTGGACTGCAACTGGAGTACTTTATTTAGACCATTCACCTCTGAGAAGGTACCTGCACTTGAAACTTCAGGTATGGGGGTTTTTTCCCCGGTAGTTTGAAAAGTAGGTGTTTTCAGTCTTGAAGATTCATGTATTGATGTTTTTTCTTGTTCAATTACTTCATTTGATGGTGTTTTTGCTCTACTGAATTCGTAAGTGGGAGTTTTAGCTCTGGACACCGAATATATTGGCAGCTTTGGGCCAATTACTTCATGTGTTGGTGTTTTAGCTCTGTGTCCTTCATACATTGGTGTTTTAGCTGTTGTCGCTTCGTAAGAAGGTGTTTTAGGTCTGGATGTATCATTAGAAGGTGTTTTTGGTCTTGGGCCTTCGTGACAAGGTGTTGTAGTTGCAGATAAGCCGTATGTCGATGTCTGGGAAGTAGATGAATCAATTGTAGTAGTTGTAGATCTGGCCATTCCACTGGAAGGTGTTCTAGGCCTCTCTAGTTCTGATTGAGAGGGCATTTCAGATTGCGGGACATCATGCAAAGAGGTTGTTGTTTGAGAGAATACATAAGAAGGTGTTTTAGTTCTGGGTGGTTCATTTAAATGTGGTTTGGATCTGGATGTGTCATATGTTGGGGTTTTAGGTCTTGAAATGCCATAGGGTGTGGTAGCTCTGGTGCCATTGTAAGGAGGAACTGAAGCTGGAGCCATGCCATAATATGGTGGTTTAGGTCTAGGAGCATCATATGAAGGGGTCTTGGGTCTCTGCAGCTCATATGAAGGGGTCTTGGGTCTCTGCAGTTCATATAAAGGAGTCTTGGGTCTCTGAACTTCATGAGAAGTTGTCTTGGATCCTGGAACTTCATGTGAAGGAGTCTTGGGTGAGTCATTTACCGGAGTCTTGGGTGTTGACACAGCGTTTGAAGGTGATTTAGGTCTTGCCATATCAAATGGGGGTAGATTTGGCGCTGGTAATCCATTTTGAGTTTTAAGACTCGAAGCATCATGTGACAAAATTTTAGAAGTTTCATATGAGGCAGTATTATTTTGGGGGACTTCAGATTTAGGTGGCTTCAAGTTTAATGCTTCAGTGGAAGGTGTTGCAGTTGATGAGACACTATAAGAAGGTGTTTTAGGTCTTGATGTTTCATAAGGTGGTATACTTGCAGTGGAAACCTGATAAGCACTTGTTTTAACTGTGGTGACCTCGTGAGCAGCTGGAGAGGTTCCATATGAAGGTGCATATACAGGTGTTTTTGGCCTGGGGACTTGATATACAGGTGTCTTTGGTCTGGGTCCTTCATTTGATGGGATATTAGCTATGGAAGCTTCATATGTAGGTGTTGTAGTTCTCTTAATTTCAAAAGTGGGTGTTTTGCTTCTGGTTGTTACGTAGGAAGTTGTTTTAAATCCAGAAATTTCATATAGTGGTGGTTTAGTTGTCTCATAAGTTGAACTTTTAGCAGTATATACTTTTATCTGGGGAACCTCAAATAAGTGGGTTTTAGTTTTGGTGGCTGTACTGACAGATGTTAGTCGATTAATATTTTCATTGATAGTTGGTATTGCTTCAACAGATGGTTGAACATTTGGATCCACAAGACTTGGAGTGCTGTCTTCTGCATCTGGCTGACTGTTTGGGGGCTTTGGATATGGCGGTATTGCTGAACTCAGAGCTGGAGCTACCTCTCCTGCTCTGGTGTCAATGGCTTCTGTGTGCTGCTGCTGGCCTGGAGTTATAGTGCTCTGTGACTGAATGACAGGCGCTGTTATATGTTTGTGAAGTGAGATTTGAGGGTCTAAGGCACGACCTGGAGTTGTAAAAGGTTGTGGGGAAAATCTTCCCAGCTTGCTGTAGCTGAAAGGTCTTTGATTTGGGTAAGGAGAAGGTGCATGCTGAATCACTGGTTTGACAAAAAATCTGGGGGGTTGCAGGGCTCCAGTATAGGCTGGTGTTTCTGGCGTCTTAGGTGGTGTTGAGTGATCGCTGTGCTCAAGGTCAGGACTAGCTTCACTCACAGGGGAAAGACTGGAACGGAAAGGGATAGGGGTCTGCGATGTTGGAGGGGCCACCTTCTTTTTGGCAGCTTTCTTCAGCAGTTTCTGGAGCCTGGCATTGTCCTTGCTGGGCTTTGGCAGCAGAGGGGGAGGATAGTGCTGAGGGAGTCCTGGTTGGTTAACATTTGTTAAAGTGACAGCCATCAGCATTTTACCCCCCTGAAACAGAAAAGATAGTTCATTGGCACCTGCTGGTTGCGCCCTCATTTCCTAATAAATGTGTCACAAAGTAAGGCTGCAATGACCAAGGAATTTCCAGAATTAGTATAGGCAATGAAAGAAAGGAGTCATTCAGTCTGTTTTAAAATTCATAGAGCTCTGCTATAATTAACAAAGGCTTAGTTAATGATTTCTTGATATTTATTAAGGCCATGCAGTTTGAAGGTTTACTAGGTGCACTCTTATGCTCTCAAGTGGAGCTAAATATAGGGCTCTATGGTTAGTAGTCTACATCAGCTTTCAGAAACTGTATAGCAGTGCATCACGCCAAGTCTGTCCTGAATGAATATTTAGCCTGTGGTTGCTGAGATTAAATGAACTTAAAATTGAAAATTCTGTTTCTTAAATTTGGTTTGTAAAAGATACTTCTGTTAAAAAGGTTCCAAATGTAAGATTGCTGTATGTTGTTCATTAAATGTAATAATATACAAACAGGTTTGGAACTAACTCTTATGCACTGTCTGTATGAGTCAGACAAATTCAATTTAAGCAATTTAAGATGGCACTTCATTTTGAGTTTATATGGTCTGTTAAACAAATCAGGCATCTTTGAACAGACTGAAATATTTTGTGAAATTTGCACAAGCCACAGTAATAAAGAGGTTTTCCTTAATTACGCCCTACAGGTGCCTCCAAGGTTCAGTACTCTTAGTTCATTCCACTAAAGGAGGGCGTGACATGCAAACCAACATGAGCTCTAAAAACAGTGTTTGCTCCTTGCCAAAGTGAATTTTCAAGGAGCTCTAATTTGTGCTCTGGTCCAACATAGCCATAACTGTGCTAAGCGGAATGTAGATAGAGTTTGTGTAGTTTTTGAGGATGGAAATTGTTTAAAAGATGTTTCTGTTTACCACTGAATACAGCAGGTCTGCTCAATCCAAGCCACCAGTGCTATTCCACCAAAAGCCACAAGATGGGTATACACTTGAAACCCCCATGAAGGGGTGTCACCGTAATAGGTTAATTACCAAGTCAGCCCTGTTACAAACATGCTTTTAGAACAACATATTCTATAGGAGGGAAAATAAAGCAAAATGTGGTTACAAGGATGAAGGCAATAAAGGTAGATTTGAAGTGTCTTGTTGATTGTTTTAGTACTGAATTGATTATCTAACAGTTCTCTTTTTTTCCATGATTTGTTTCAGCTGGATTAAGCCAAGAAGACTTGTGAAAATTTGAAGACTAGTGCAGAACCCTAAAAAGCATTGGAAGTCTTTCTTAATTTATGAATTGTATTGATTCACAAGAAATTTGTAGTAGATACTCTCCGTACATTTTACTACTGTCTTTTCTGCTGTCAGGTCATATTAACATTAAACAGTAGTGATTTTAAGGAATTAAACTAATGTCTACAAGATACAATTTACAAAAGTACTCTGTACCTTTCCACCATAGTCAAAAAAACGAGTTTGTTAATTCTGTATTTTACAAGCTATGACTGAGAATATGTTGTTTTTAAAATAATATACTAAAATGAAAAAAAAAACACTTAGTAAAATTGTCTTGTTTTGTATTTTTATTGAGAATGTCATGTTAACTGGATAGTTGGAAATGTTTGTATATATATGGTATTTCTACCATGTAACAGAATTTGTTTTTTGCTTTAGTGAATTGTTCCCCAAGCAACTACAGTTTGATTAATAACCCTGGATTTCATTCCTTAAGCCCCTGTAAGACCAATAGTTTATCCATGTAATAAATCTATAGCCTATTAAACAAGTGACTGAAGCAGTGTTAAACTAAACATACATCTTTTTAAAAAATCAAGTAAATCACAAGAACATGAAGGCATAGACAAGAGGAGACCATTCATTTATTCCACCTAGCTTGTCTGGTTTCTAGTAGAATGATCCAAAGATATCATCAAGCCATTCCCTGAAAGACGTTTGTGTTCCAACTTCAATCGTATGGCTGGATGACTTGTTCCAGAGCCCCCAAACCCTTATTGGTTTCTCGGTTTTAAATGCTCTTGTTTTCCACTCATGTTCTCTGGTTCTACTCTTCATTTAAATTTATGACTTGCTTTGCATGTTGTTTATTATAAGCTGAAACAGAGTTCTGGCTGCTGTTTCATTCTTACTAAAGCGCACATTATCTCATGTTTTTTTTTTCCTTTTGCAATAAGACAGTTGGGAGCTTGTTTGAAATAAAATAATGTTTGTCACAATTTTAGCATTTTTATTTCTTTCTCTGACCTGATGTAGTGGAAAAGATTCATTTGCCAGACCTTAGCTGTAGATTCTCAGGAAATCACAGCTCTGGATCTGTGTATGGTTGATTGTAACACAAATGTATGAGCTATTAATGAAACCATTATACGATCTGTGAGCTGGAGAGGGAATGTAGCAAATCATTGAGTTGGCTCACTTCTTCCAGCTCTTAAAAGCACCTGATAATTGTACAATATATTTCTGTGTGTCACTGTTGGTACTGATGCGCAAAGAAAATGAAAAAAATCATTAGAACATTGGGATAAATTTAAATGGAAAATGTGATAACACTTCTTTCATTCTGTTATTTACATAATCTTGCTTTACAAGACTTACACTGGAGTTATAAATATTAAGACAGTTCTTTGCTGGACTTGCTTTACATTGAAATAAATATTTAAAAACTATAAACCTTTTCATACAAAATATTTAACACAGGACCATTAGTTTTCTATGAAAACTAACATTTTAATAGAAAACGTTAGTTTTTTTTCTGGTATTTTAAATAACAGAAAAACAGACTGTATTGGGTTTTCATTGGAGCCTCCATCGTTTTGCATTAATAGAGCTTTATGAAAACAACTTTCTAAAATGCATTCAAGTATTTACACAGTGGAAAAACCTTGTTAATGAGGTGTATTGGTGTATACAATGAGATATACTAGTCCTCAGCACATGCTGGACAAACACAAGGCTGATTAGGTGTGTTTTCATCAGTAATAAATGACTAATTCCTTGCTGTTCATGTTTGATTAATAAGGCTTGTGTTAGGAATTTACAAGTACTCGATAAACTGAGTTTCAATAATGGAGCAGTAATACTTGCCTTACTGGTGTCTCCTATTTTGAATTACTGTATTTGTTGATGGCAAAGATTTTTCTTCCTTACTGATTAATATTGTAAGGGATAGAAAATCCTCAATACTCATCTCCACCAAGGGAAATGAGACTGAAGAGTCCCAGGGGTCCTATATCCACCTTATGACATTATCTTCAGGTCTCGGTGAGTAGGACTGAGCTGAGCTGGTGCATGCTCCTCCCGTTAAACTTCAAGTGTACAAGTGTGGTGCAGCTCTAGAAATCCCCTCAGATGGGATTTCTGTTTTAGCCAAGATTAAGAACCTTCTTTTTCAAACTTTATCAACATAAACTGGATTTCACAATGGAAAATAACCTAAAACAGCCCAGTATATGTGTATTTACAATATGATTTCTACCACGTATCAACCATACACTTAAATATATTGATATACTGTATAAAAGTTGCAGTTATTCAAATTATATGTACTGTATTTTACCAATAAGTTGTACTGAGCTGTGCCCAGTTTATCCTTCCTTTAACAAAGTGAAGAGCTTGTATAGTTTGCTAGATTGGAAAATCAAGGCAGCAGTTATGTTTATCACTTGCAGAAATGAATGTCTCCTGGGTAGCTGGAAAGTTCCTTAGCCTAAATTTAGATGGAAAAAAGCCTTGGGTTATCATGTGACTCTATCACCTGTTCCTCACTGCTATGAACTGCCCTATACTTGGTGCATCGTTTTCTGTCTCTTGTAAATCACACAGGAAACTCTCAGATCATAATCTAAATGATCAAAAGATTTTGTAGACAAATCACTTTTAACTTACCAATCTATTGTGAAGTGTTCTACGCACCTGGAATATTTCCACATTGTATTTTATTTTTTACAATTTCAGCTATTACTGATCTGTCTTCAGAATTAGCCATTATACAGTAAGTAATCAACAGAGCAGTGAGCCAGTGGCAGTAGTTTTTCTTGCAGTGGAACCCACTGGGTGAGAAAAGCAGGTTACAGAAACTTCGTACAGATTTTTCTAATTATATTTTATTTCTTTTCAGTAATCTAAACAGTTTGCTCTCAAATGTCAGTTGCAAATGAGTCCGATTTTACAATTCGAAATGAAATTGGATATTTTTGAATTGATTAATTTGAATCATTGGACAAGAAAGACTGCAGGTTCTGCAGGGTACAGAACTTTCTGCAACACAACTTAAGGTTTCCATCTGGGTCACCTAGCTCATTTGTTTGCTAGTAGCTAATTGACTCAAAGATCTTCACATCTTCACACCGTTTCTTGAAAGAAGCCAGGGTACTGGCTTCAACAACATGATCATGGCTGAGTAGGTTTTTTTCATTCTCCCACAAGCCATTGTGTAAAAACGTGCCTCCTGTTCTCTATTTTAAATGCATTTCCACATAGTGTCCAAATGTGTCCCCTTATGTCTCATACAAATACATGAAAGTATATGTTGTAAATGTATTATGCTGATGCATTGTTTTACTGTTGCAGTAAAGTGAGAAATGTCTCATTTTGTTAAAGGACATGGAAAAAAAGTCAGCCTGTTGTATATGTAGCTGACTGATGACATTTGTTTGTGGTTTTATGGTTCTTAAATTCCTACTGTACCATCAAGAAGGAAAGCAGAAAACAGCCTTTGTCCAAAATTCAAAAATATTCAAGCAATTATTCCTCTACAAGACTGGACACTCACAGGAACCCAACCAGTGAAAGGGGATATGTGCAGTCCCCTGATGGTGTCACATCACTGAAGCTACATGAAACCTGGGCGCTGCCTGATCAGGTAATTGCATAGCCTGGATTTGAACCAAAGATATGTAGACTTTAGAGCTCACTCCGAAAGGAGAATTTGACTGGCTGGGCCACTCAGGAACTCTGTCAGTAATTGCATACAATTATTATTCTTAACTGATCATCATTCTGTGCCTTGCAACAGCTAAAAACCATGTTTAAACATTTATAAACCATCTAATTCAGATTTAAAACAAATGTCATGATATATATTTCTGCCATCTACATTTGTGAGAGTTTTACTTATTTTAAAGGTAGTGGCTTTGATGCAGGCCTGCATCTCCATAACTGTTATGAAGATTAATTTAATGAGAAACATTATTGTAAGATGATGATTATTATTATTTTAATAAAGTTCACCAAGCTACAACATAACCACATCCCCAAGCTGAAGTATGACATCATTTGATTTAGCAGTCTGCCTTTCGATGTAGTTATCTGCATGCATTGATTGTTCCAGAAAGGTCTTGCAGATAAAATGCAGTAAAAAGTGGACTCTGGAAAAGCTGTTTTTAACCATAAAAGTACAGAAATACTACTACTACTAAATTCAAATGCAAGTTATATTACTTTGCACGTTTTGCTGATATCTGCACAGTAGTGCAATTGCCCATAAAATCCACCTTAAATATCCACCTTGTACTTTCTGACCAATTGTGAATGGAAGATGATAAACTGACACAACCATTTTATATTAACGTGCTTTTCTTTCTGTTTCATCCCTTTATGTTTCTGTTTTCTATTTCAAGTTTGTAGGATAGGCCACCTTTGCAAATGCTTTAAAGAGTCAGTCCCGACAGCAACAGAGCTAGAACCGCGAAGAATATGACTCCTTGATATCTGAGAAGAGGCGATCCATTTAAGGTACTGCTAGGTTCGACATTCTGGTTCACGTCCAGGAAACAAATTCAAAAGAGGAAAGATTAATAATAGTCTAACAATAAAACTCAGTACAATAGCGACTAGGCTGTTGGATTTTTGTGAAATGCAGATAAAAAAGACCATTTTGAGTTATTTAAAATGCAACTTATTAGGCCAATTATTTAACAAGATTATATTTAGATAAGATAAATGACTTACCAAGAAGTGCTTATTACTGATGATAAACTCACTTTGGACTTAAAACCCTTCAAACAGAAAGCAAAGAAACAATTTGCAAATAAAAATAAAGCCATGATCCAAACATACTGTACTACACTTATTTTTAAAGAAATAGGCATATTTCTTATACTACATATTTTTTAAAAGTGAGTTTGATAAATGCATAAACATATTGTATGCATATAGTGTTCCGATACAGAACATGGTCAATGCAATTCAAATTATCCAATAACATTTAACATGCATTCACTCAGTAACACAAAGCCAGCACCTTCATGTTCTATTTTACTGAATTTCTAACATTTCACCAACAGATTCATGTTTTTAACAAAAGGTATAACAAGTGCACCTCCCACACAAGTAAAGCCCAGATGGGGGTCAGATTCTAACAGCTGGTATGGTTAAGTCAGGTAGGTAGGGGTTGCACTTTCTCCATATCATCAATATCTGCAGTAAGCAATGAAATCAGAAAGCATGAGTTGCATTCCGTTTACCTGAGTGAGTGTTGGTTGGGGGGTTACTAGCCGCTGTCTGCAAGTCCCAGCCTTGAGTGTCAGAAGGGGAATCTCATCATGATCTTTACTACACCCTTCCTACAAATGGAAGGGACAATCTCCGAGTCACTCCAAAAATAAAAACTGCCCAGAGCCCATGCTCAATACAAGTTCCACTATGACAGAGTTACAGGAACTGTCAGCTACAACAGGGGGAGGTTTAAGCACATTAGCTAACCTGGTATTCTAGCCCCTGCATCCACTTTCATTTCTAAGTGCAGCAGCCCCTACAGGTGGCTCTGAGACTTTTCCCGAGACTTTTCTTCCCCGATCGTTCTGCTTCCTCAGGGTGGACCAGCCCTGTAACCATTTAACTAGGATCACAAGGGAAACAAATCCCTTTGTCTGAACTTTAGACTTCACTAAAGTCTGAACTTTAGTGAAGCTTCACCTGTATGAATGGAGCCTTTTCATTTTCCTGTTTGTCACACATTTTAGTTATTTATGTTCCATTTTTCAAGTCATATCAGTTACCTTTATAGGAGCCTCAATTCTCTAGATTTCCCCACAAGCAATGCCTGCACAGATCTTGAATTCCAAAATGTATATAAACTGCTTTAAGAATGCCAGAGGGCTCTTTTGAGAGTCTCACAATGAGTACACCACAAAAACAAAGGATTTTTGCCAACCACTGGAAATCTGTAAGGATTTGTCCCAAAGGTCCTGAGGGTTTTCTGCAAGTACCTTCCAGTTTTATGCAACAACAAAGTGTAAAAAAAAAAGGTATAGAAGACATAACATAGGATTTTCTTTTTGTTCTTTTTGTTCTTAAACACAATACTGTCCTTGTTATTTTCAGAGTCTGGTGTCATTTTAATCTGAATTTATATCAAGTGTGTTGTTATTATTTTCCAGTTCTGATGAAGTTCAGATGGCAAGAATTGTGCCAAGCTATTCTCTACCTCCCTCATAGTGCATTCATCAGGTCCCTAAAACAAAACCCTTCATAATTTTCTGCTTGCCTAGTTTGATTCAAATATAGCAACAGGAGTCTCGGGTGCTTTTCTCCAAACATGTTCCTTCCCTCTTTTGCATAATCTATTCCTTCCCTTATTCAGTGGCCCTGCAAAGACACTATCACCCTCCCATGCTCATAGGGTCTCAAGGAGTTACAGCCAATAAGGACCCTCAAGAGATCAAATATCACTATAACAGGAGGACTTAATCACCTTGGGAAGTTTGCAGACCTACAGCCAGTCTCCGCCAACAGGGAGCTCACTTCTTTCAGCTTGTTGGAGGTAAGAGAAAGAGCCTGTATAGTCTGGGGGTTCTGTGCAACACATTTAGTAGGCAGGAGATAATAAAATACACGTTTTCCCAATAACCTGTAATATGCACTTGTATCTGTGACCACTCGTTTCAAAATGGGGCTGGTTCACGATGCACCTACTTTCCAATTAACAGGCCCAGAGCAAACCAATTCTCTAAGTGGCTTGTTAGCATCCAAATGTGTCATCTGGAACACAAAGACAAGTTGGATTTGTGTAAATGAAAAGATTGCTTGTTCTGGTTCACCACAGGAACCTATTTAGATGCAAAGTTATATTTTTGTTTTGTGAAACAAGCACCTTGGAGAGGATCCTGTTTTAACATGTCTGCATGTTCAACGTTATGACAAGGAATTCTTTGGAATTTGCTCAATTTAACGACAATCCAAATCTGACCATTTAAATGTGTTTTGCCTGAAAATGGAGAAATATTGTTTTTGCATTAAATACATAAGAATTAGAAATGCTAGAAAGAGGAAATGACAATGTTGTTTTTTGCATGCGGTCAGTATATACAGTACATTTGGAACAATATATTCAGTCCGTATTGTAGGATATCATTTTATCTTGAGACAAGGTTTGGTGAGTACATGTTTTGTTTTATGGATGTGTGTGTAAGTTAAGGGGTAACTGAAAACAGTAAACAGATGGTATATGGTCACTGCTGGATCAAATTCTTCATGTCGTTTGTTGGACACATTTATTTCCAACCCTTGGGTATGATGTTACAAGGTCACAGAACACATTCTGTAGATCAGTTTATCTGTACTGGTTCCAAAACTCCTGTCAGTATATCAGTGGTGTATTTAAGCCTAGGATTTACAAATCACTTCCTTGAACTTGTCGCTATTTTTCAGACTTTGTATCTATGTTTGCAATGACAATGAAGGCTTAGCAGAGAGCACCTGATAATACAATTATAATGACTGTACAATAAGGGCTAATAACAATGGGGTGTATAGAATTCTCATGTGATTCAGCTACTAAATAACGTATTAATACCTTTCTTGCTATGTGTTTTGTTATAAATCCAAGGAATGCATGGGGTGAACATCTGTACAAGTATTCTTTTGGGTTATGCAGTACAATGTTCAAATGAGAAATGCCTATTAAAGTGTTCAAACAGCAGGTAAGAGTAACACTTAGTAAAATAAGTATCATTTTAAGACATTCAGATCCACAAAAACTGTATTTTTGTTTATTAGTAGTAAATAACAAATTGATATAATAATGCATGAAAGCATTATTTCTCATAGATTTCAAAATTCCAAAGCAATCAAAGGGTAACTTTAATCACTTCATCGGTATCTTGATTTCTTTGACATAAATGACTTATTGGTTCAATTGCACATTGATTTTTTTTCCATGTTACAATACCTTCTCCACTATCACTGGCTTTGATGAGCTCTTTTTGTGACAGTTGTGCCCTGTTGTTACACACATTTTGCTCACATCACGTTCTCAACAGAGATGTCTAGCCTCGTGTAGGGCAGATATTTGTTTTCAAACGTGCCGAGTGAAAGCGTCGTCTCTGCTGGCTTTCACGTCTCTTCTTGCTGTGAGCAGCAGTTTCCCGATAAGGAAACGGAATGGGAATTATGAGAGCTATTCCAGCAGAAAGAACCCAAGCTGAGGGTGAGAAATATGATCCAAGGACTAATTCTGAAATACATCCACAGCTGTCTGTGGATTTGAATGCTTGTGAAGTCAGTCTCTTAGGTGCAGTCATTATATTAATTTATGAACTTTGGGTCTAAGGTAAAACTCGTATTTTGATTATTTCCCAATACAAATTATTTCAGGTCTCCTACAAATTTCCATACAAAAGGCTCATTTAACTTTTCCATACTTCATTTATATGAGCTTGGCAGGTGATATGAATTCATATGAATATTTTAACTCATATCATAAATCTGCTGGATGAGATTTAGCCAAGAAACATGTTCAGATCTGACAACACAGACCTTGATCTCTGGGTTCTTGGTGGGAGTTGCATCTCAAAGAATCATACACACATTTAAGATACTGTAAATGTAAGGAGCTGCCCCTTCTCAGGTGTCATCAAATAGGCATATAAGGGAGGGTGTTAAATTTCTATGCGAAATAATATAACTACAAGGCTGAAACCCAATGTTGGTCAAATTGACCTAGAACCATTTTGCCAGCAAAAATGGTTTTACAATGCACATTAAAAGACTCTTGCCTTGAGTATAAACAATGTCCTAATAGTTGCATTTTCATTAGTGCAATCTGTGTGGCATTTTCCAAACAGGAATCTACTTTACTTGGGTATTTTAGAGTATTGATGTTAACTTGTTGGCATGGGGATACCATATCTGTGCTTTGAAGTTTTGTTGAATAACATCGTTTTCCCCGAAACAATGAAAAAACACACAATGAATACCACTCTTTTAATCTTTCAAACCCAGTTAAATTAAATGTTAATCTTAATTTCCGAGAATATGATTATATTGATCCTCCTTTTATTTTTTCCTCTGGGACTCACTCCGTGATGCTACAGTTATTAGCCTATCACGTTCCTCTTGAAAAAGGGAGGAGATAATTTTGGGGGTGACAGCATCCCTGTGGCTATAAATGAAGGACTGGCGAGTACAGCTCTGCTCTCTGTAGTTGAACTTTCTCTCTCTCTTGCTCTTATCAGGTGTAAGGTCCACTGTCAACATGTCTGACACAGAGGAAGTGTGAGTATGGTCTTATTTCTTTTAAAGAAGGAAAAATGATATAAAACAACAAAAATGTGTCTTTCCAATAGTCCTACCAGGATGGGTCTCCACGTAAGATTCTATAACTTTGTAATATCCTAATGTAAGAGAATACATTTGCAGTCTCGCGGCCCAGCGACATAGCAAACAAGACAGTTATGAATCAACTAAATAACTAGATTTGTGCAGTAGTAAATGCAAATATAAACTCTAAATCTTGCATGTTTAATATTTTAATGACAATATTAAATCTCATGTGGACAAAGCTTCCTAAATCAATCAGGTTCTGCCTTATTTTTAATTTACCTTGGAAGCCAATTGATAAAAATGATCATATTTTTTATTTATGCACTAGGGTTGTTTTTGAAAGCAGTGTTTTTATAATGGAATGATTATGCCTCAAAACTAATTACTGGGTGACAAAACGTATTATACCAATCGATTTTATATTTTGGGTTATTTTCAAACTAGTTTGCAAGTCATGTGTGCAAACTTCAAACACTAAGCCTCCTTGAAAAACTGTTGAAATATGAATTGAAATATTAATATTGTATGCAACATTATTGATCTTATTGCACTTAGACGCTGTAATTTTAAAACTGAATAATTTTAGTATGACGCTTTACGACGTTTTGTTTTTTATTTTTCAGTGAACACGTGGAGGGTAAGTAACCATCACAAGGTCTTGAATAAAAATGAGATTTTTATACATTTAATTTAATCTTATATATCCGAAGTGAAATGTGATACTAACTATTCCCAAGTTATTTTTAAAGCCAAGGGTCATCTACAGTACTTTGTAATTGTGAACAGCCTTTGACGAACTGTAGGTTCGCTGTTTCCACCTAGTGGCACAATAAATGTAGTGCAACAATAACCTTTAGTTAATGTACTGTGTTCTATCAAATGCATATTTCCCAAAATAATTGGATCTAATTATTGTTTTATTCATCTGTTTCCTGAACAAATAAAGGTTTAAGGTGATGGACAAATATTCTTTTCGGGTTTGGCTTGACTTGAATGGGCTTGAAATCGTTTCATAGATTGCTGCTGTTTCTGAAAGAAAAGCTTTTGAGCTCATTTCAGCTTTTTTTTTAAATGGTTCTGCAGCAAATCATCAGATATGCCCTTACTTTTGCCAATGTACAGTTGCAGGTACTGAAGTAACCAGACATAAATATATACTGTGCCTCATGTGGAACTATTAAAAAAAAGTACATTTATCTGTTGTTATTTTTTATTGCTAAAAGTTTTTTTTAAGAAACCACATAAATACTTATGTATTAATACAAAATTAGAGATAGCAATTACTCTGAATATTATTGATAGCTTGAAGAAAGTTGTTCATTTTTGATGTACAGTATATTTTCCAGTATTGTTCTGTGTAAAGGAAGTGACGCCTATGTTTTTGAAACACCAAAAGAGCAAAAGTTACACAGAGCAGCGCATTTTAATTTGATAAAAATCAAAATGTTTTGTATTTTGTAGTTTACCTTGACTTTCAGAAACAAGGGGGCACAGTCTAAAAACGGAACCGTTTTGACAGCAGTGAAATTAGAATATATTTACATACATTCCCTGTCTGTCTTGTTCTCTTTCTGTCCTGCACCTCTACATTATGACTTCCCAAGGCTTTGCTGGTATACAGTCCTCACTGCACGCTAGCAATTCATTTCTGATTTAACGTTAAAGCTTGCAGGCGCCGTTTTCCTTTGTGGGTGTCTGTTAGTTTTATCGTTAAGGCCTTGTAGTCCCCAGGGTATGATTAAAAAAAAAATAGAAATAAAAGTATTTTTGTATTCTTCCAAGTGTGTTTTTTAACAGAATGTCAAGGCTTATATACAGTACGCTTAACATGCTTTTGTAAAATGTTGTATGACATTATTTGGTACATTGTGTACAGAGGTGCCGTCTTTTTAATTTTCCTATTTTGCTGCTTTTTTGCGGAAAATGAAGAATATGAAGAGGAAGGTAAAAGAACACACACCCGTGATTTCTACTTTTCCTACTGACACTAATTTGTTGCCCTTTTTTTTCTTCACCCTTAATTTTCGACGTGTTTGACAAAGCCTGCTTGTTTGTGACGCATCGTGTTCTGTCGCTGTCACGTTGGCATGTCGGGGAAAAAACGTCTTTCGTCCGGTGTTGATGTATCATCATGTGCTGCAGCGGTGTGCCAAAGGTGTACAAAAGTAAATGGCCTTTCATGTGTAATGCTGCTTTTGGAGACACACTTGATACAAAATTACGCTGACGTAATTTAAAAGAGGTTTAATTAAACTCTGAAGTAAAGGGAGTTTCTCTTTCCCAAAAGATATTGTCACACAAGAAATACGTCTTGCAAATCTGGATTTAGGTTATGTGCCTTACAGCATTATTCAAGGCTGCTTTATCCGGTACAATAAGAAAACAAATGCAATGCATTATACATATTTAAAACAAATATTTGTAATAATCGAAAGTTGTTTAAGTATTAGCTCCACAGTAATTTTGCAACATTTTGTTTTGTTTTACACCATCGCTGGCTCATTAAGCACTGTTAATAGCTATACAGTAAGTTAAATTGCCCGTTTACACGCTCTTTGTGTTATACTATGTTCAGGTAATCTCAGATCTTCCTTTGTAATTCTGCAGCATATTGACGTGTGCTGCAAAATTACTGAGTATCCAAGATGACCGAACAGCCCACACCACTTAAAATTCATCCGCGCTCCGCACACACCCCAGCTCTGCTCAGCTCAAGAGAGAAATAACGTTAGGAAAATAACAGCGCTAAAACAATTGTTGTGTTTTTGGATCATAGCTGCAGTGTTCTGTCTTCCACAGGAACCTTCCCCATGACATGTTTCTTCCCAAGTTTTCGTTCCTGTGTGTGTTTATTTGTGTATTTGTCGACGTGTGTTCTAAAATGTGTCGGATGAACAGTTGCTTGCTTTGAGATCACCTGACTCGCGACTTTTTGTGTCTGTCAAACACAAGCTAGTTAAGGGTGACCACTGACTGGATGACCTTCATGCCTTCATGAAGCAACAACCACAAACTTTACAATGTTTTCTTTTCTCTCCAAAGCACATTTTTGCATGTGATGCAAGATGCAACTTTTTGACTCAAGTATCCCCAGTGCATAAGAAACTGTAATTCAGTTTTTTTAAATATCTTCCCTCTGTCTCTACTGACCTTGTTTCTAGTTTCTTGTTCCTTGTGTCTAGTGGGTATTCACTCCCTTCTCCTTGTTGCCTGATGCATTTTCTTCCCCGGGTTGTACTTTTTGGTGAACGAGCTTTTTGATAGGTGATCGTGTTTTAAATCTAGTTCGCCCTCACACTAAAAAAAACAACCTTTCTTTAATTTTTGCTCCTGACTGCTTGCTGCATGTTCTATACCTGCTGAAGAAGCACACCACGAGGAGGTGCATGCTGATGAAGGTATGTGATCTGTATTCATTCATCCTTCCTGAGATCCACAATGAATCCATATTGTTAGAACCCATTAGCTGTACCATCCTGTCAGCTTAATGTCTCGACTCCATTCTTTGAATAATTTAAGTTCCATTGGAAGTACCTCCTCTTCATAACTGATTATGAAGAAAAAAATCAATAATATATATATGTATTACATACAGTATGAGTCAGTTTGCCAGAGCAGCATGCCATAATGCTTTCTGCTTACTTTGAAAGACTTGCTTAGTTTTAAAGCAAATTAATCTTGCTTTCAGCGCTTTTCCTTATGATTAAGTGGCTTGCCCCTATGGTCATATTCATTCTAATAGATTCTAAGCCACAAAAGCAACCTGTCACCCACAGTTCTAAGAAGCAGCTGCTGGCATCACTTTCTTTTACCACACGAAATGTTCATTTTCAACTCCAGAAAAAGGGAGATCTATCGATGTTCTTCTGCTATTTTTTTCTTGACTAAAGGATCATTAGAAATATGGGCAGAGATTTACATCAGTGGATTATTTGTGATCCCTGGTGATGTTTACCTTCTGATTATGTGCATGTTTTGCACTGATTTAATATAATCAGCTTGAGGGACAAAAAATGCATTCTTTAAACCACATAAACATTATTTAATTTGGCTTCCAAATGTTCCAAGATTCCTTACTGTATGTATATACTGTATATTAACACACACCTGAGCCTTTTTTAGTTTCAGTGAATTTAAATTTTTCATTCACTCTGCTTCTGACCCCATTTTAAAAACTTGAGTTACAGGGCAAAGATCAAACATTAGCATCTTCCATGGCTAATTCGGGCTTTTCCAATATAATTGTTCAGTTTCTTTTTGGAAAGCATATTTCTGTCTTTAAACTCCTTTTCAAAATGCGGGTCTGTACTGTGGCTCATAGCTGGCTGAGGGCATAATTCTATGGTCCCTGATTTTGTGCTGCAGGAGGTCTGTCAAAACCCTTAAGCCTGATTTCTTCCTGCACGTCTGGGAAACGTAACAGGGACAGGAAGCATTTCTGTCCCCTTCAGTCACTGTGGTGTGTCCATTGCTTTTCCCTTTTCAAAGACATATAACACAAACAGTTTAAATTAAAAAATAAAATTAGAAAGAAATTTGTGACTGAACTGGGACAACCAAATCTACCAAGTAGTGGGGAATGTTATTATTGAAAAGCATGACATTACAGTTCCAAGTTATTTGAGTAAACGATTAATTTTTCAAATGAACAGCTTTATTATTTCGTATAATTAATAATATTAATCAATTAATATGAATTGTATATATTTATAATTATATTAATTCTATATATTTTTGAGAATTAATCAACCACAGTGATCTACATTATGTTGTGTGTATAGTGACTATGTAATGTAATACACGTTCGTTAAAAATGTTTTACCACATATTCTTAGGAATTCAAAAAGAGTAAGGAACTTGCAACTGTAATACACTACTTTTTAAAAAGTTATCTACTAAAATTCACTTTTCAAAACAAATCCAGTAACTTTATATTTACAGTAGTAAATTCTAAACTAGATGGTTCGTTATTCAATCCTTTTTGGGATATTAAAAATTCAGTTTGATGATTTGTATATGCTTGACTGATAAAGATTTCTTACCAAAATGTATTTTGCTGAAACATCTCTCAGCCCCAGGTTTGCTGTCCTTTGCAGTTGTTTAGCTTGTGAACACGTGTGTTTTAAAAGCACATGTGTGTTTTAAAAACAATGTGCAAATGACTTCCTATTGCCAATTATGTTTTTTTTTGCTTTCTGCTTTGATTGCTTGCTGCATGCATTATCCAGAGACCTATGAAGAGGAAGGTATGTTGACCTATTTCTGAATCTTCTAGCAATAATAAAAGAGGACTTAACACAAAATAGAGATCCTTACAAACCCACTGGTTTATGTAGCTATTGGACCGGCTCGTTGCCGAATAGGTATTTTATGCTAGAAAGCCAACATGTTTTAGGATAATTGGGAGTTAAAAAAAGTTCGAATCAGTGGCCCAGTAAAACTGATGCTGAGAAAATAAAGACCGACAGCTTCAAATCAGAAGAAGGGTTTGGTCAGTTGTCATGCAGTGAAAAGGGTGAAGGAATATGAAATGCTGTCATTGCTTCACAGTGCTTTATCACTTTGCTTATTCCTTGCTTTGCTTCTTTTCTTTTCTGGCTTCGCATGACATGCGGCACACCAGCCGAAGACGAAGAACACGATGGTATTTTGCGGCACGATAATTGTTATCCTTTGCTGCTCTGTGCTTGCGTTTCTGACAAGTGGAAGTGGGTGGGAGGGTCAAGCCAAAAGCTTATGCTGTAAAATGCTGGTAGATCCATCCATACTCATCTGTATCTGTTCTGTAATACTTGTCTGAACAACGGAGCCATTTTTATTTTGTCCATGGCACAAATTACTCAATGAGACAGATGTGTTACTATATCTAATTATGACATAGTGTTTTCCTCCTGTTTTGTAGTATTTTAATTGATTACAATTTGGGTAAAAATTATATATAGAGAAATATATAAATAGAGTATATGACACCCTATGTGTGATTTGTATATTAGTATATCAAATATATATCTTGTTTTCAATTAATTTACCCAAACACATAAATTAACACTTTATCGTAATGAAAGGATACACTAGTTGTGTATTAGTTTTGTAAATGACTTGTCTTAAAGTTTGCCATTTTATTTTAAAACCATTCAGTTATCACAAAATAGCATTTACTCACTAAATGTAAGGTTTGGATGTGCAGTCTGAACATCCATGTCGTCAGTCTGTGGATTTATAACTTTGTGAAATGCTCTTGTCCCTTTTCTGTTGTTTTTTTTTATCTAACAGAAGAGAAACCAAAGTTCAAGTAAGTAAATATATAACTTAAAATCTAGGTTTCTGGAAAAATGTTTTCCTTTAAGAAAGTACAATTTGCATTATTGACATTAATAAATGAAACAGTAAAATAGACTACATGACTGATTGCATTAACCATAAGATACTTTATCACCACATATATAGATTCATATATAATGTATAGATAAGCTGCAGTATTTCCTATAATTTAGTTTGTGCAAAACCTTTTAGCATTTCAAGGTTGTAAAGAAAATATTAATTAAATTAATAAATTACCAAATATTAAAAAAAAAAATTTAATGTAGAAAGTAGCAGAATTACCAATTGCCAAGGCTGTTTTTACAACATTCATTACCATATGAGTAACATCTATAAAGCCTGATTCTCCTTAACTGTCAGCAATTGTGTTATATTTGTGTTATTATATTTATTATAATTGTGTTGTATTTGACCAAACTCAACTGAACTCTTATCAATACTTCTCAGACCTACTGCCCCTAAGATCCCTGAGGGGGAGAAGGTGGACTTTGATGTGAGTAAATTTAAATGTTTTCATTTTTTATGTGTGGCTTTTTCATCATCTGTAGAATACATTGCCCATGAATGCATTTAGCTGAATTTATGTTACCCAAATGTGTGCATGAGCCATGGAGATATGCAGTATCTAATCACATGTGTCTCACTCTCTCATAGGACATCCAGAAGAAGCGTCAGAACAAGGACCTTATGGAGCTGCAGGGTCTGATTGATGCTCACTTTGAGCACAGGAAGAAGGAAGAGGAGGAGCTTATTGCCTTGAAGGAGAGAATTGTGAGTGACTCAGATGTCCAGTGCCGTATAAATGTTTTTGTTATGACTCTGCCTAGTTTGTGTTCCATTTCGCCCACTTCCCTCATGTTTTAGTTTGATTTAGTTTGCCATTCTGGTTGTGGAAGACTCCTGCATCTTCAGGTTTTCCTTCCAGCTGAGCTCTTAATTATGGAGGCTGACTAATTTCTACTGATTCTGATTCTACTGAGTTTTCCTGGGTTTCGGGGAATAAAAACCTCTGTAGTGTATTTTCTGAGACCAAAAACTCTGTATAGAAAAGGTGAAAAGGGTATAATTATGTATGGAGCACCTTTAAAAAGTTGAATTGGAGTAACTGATTAAAAGCTCCTTTGGAAGGAAAAGCAGAAAGCACAGGGTCTCTCCAGGACTTGGACTTGCACCCCTGGTTTAGAAGACAGCGGTTGCCTTAGCCATGTGAACAGACAATCTGAATCAATCACTGTATTCAGACGTTCAGGTGAAATTTCAGTTCTGGCACAAGAAAGGGGGAAATAAGTCTGGCATTATACGAATAATAAGCTTCATGCAAAAGGGGCAAAATGGGGAAACAGTGTTCATATATCAAAACATTGTGCAGATTCATAGAATAAGTTTGCCGTAGTTATAAACAAGCTAGTCATACATATACTCATTAACAAGGATTCCAATATACAGTACAGTACATATAGCGAGTGCAAAAAACTGTAGGAAGAAACCTAGACAGAGAAACCTAGACAAAATGAACATTGAAATGAGAGCTTGGTGGCTAGACAAAAAGTCATTTAATAAAGATAAAATTACATACTTCAAAACTAAATTGAGTGATTACTCTTATGTACAGTACAAAGTTTAAACAGACTAATAAATGCATGTTCTCTGCTTATAGGTGCCTACAAGACACAGGTGGTCAGGAGACCGGGTCATTTCTCTTATTCACACATCTGTCAGTCAGACTACAAATGCAGTCCTTTAATCAGGCAGACACGGGCATATACATTTCTCTTCTAACTACCTTTGACAATACAAAATGCTTAAAAATGAACACGAACTTTTCTTTCATATGTTGAATGTATGTTTCAGTCTAGTAAATATCACTGTAATAATCAGAGGCCTCACAGTTCTACATCACATCACCCTGCTGTGTTTCTTTTCAAACAGGAGAAGCGCAGAACAGAGAGAGCCGAACAACAGAGAGAAAGAGCTGAGAAGGATAAAGAGCGCCAGGCGAGACGAGAGGTGAATGTCAAGCCTATAGGAATCACTTATGACATAGGAAACCGATATGGGCTGCTGCATTATCCCTATCATTACAAATTAACAGCAACTTGCACATCTATTGTATAATACAGTGCCTTGCACAAATCAGGCAGTGTCTTTTATAATGATACAATGATGATGTATTAATTCCAGTGATGTCTTCTTGTGTTGTATTCCTAATGCTCTATACACACGTATTCAAAGTGAATGCTGAAGTTGAAAGTTTGCAGCCAATCACGCACATACTGATGTCATCTTGCATAGAGCGCCATGTCCAAAAGCTGAGAATGAACTGACGAGGGGATCTTGACCTTCCTGCGGCCTGTTTGACCGAACTGTGCATGTGTGTGTGCTTTGTCCCACAGGAGGAGAGGCTCAGGAAAGAGGAGGAAGATCAGAAGAAGAGGGCTGAAGAGGATGCCAAGAAGAAGAAGGCCCTCACCAACATGGGCTCTCAGTACAGCAGCTACCTTGCTAAGGTAAGAGTTCCCGCACACTGCACAGAGACTGAGCATGCCATCAGTGGGCCTCAGTGTTACTGGAGACGAGTGTCAGGGTTGAACTAGATAACAACAATGCAGTACAGTATGTGCAGCTATTTTTTTCCCCATGACATTATAATCTTAAGTGACTTTAAAATCATTGGCCTTCATTGTTTCATTAGCAGTTTCACAAGGAAACAGGATATCTCTGACTAGAACCGTTCTATTACAGTTTGGCACACATGGGTTTCTTGTTTTACAAATGTTTCTGTGCCATGTGCATCGGCTGGCGGTTACATCGTTTGTGGTAGCGTCATTGACCTTTACTGTTCTTGGAAATTTAGGCTGATCAGAAGAGAGGCAAAAAGCAGACCGAGAGAGAAAAGAAGAAGAAGATCCTGGCAGACAGACGCAAGCCTCTGAACATTGACCATCTGAGTGAGGACAAGCTGAGGTACGAATCGCTAAATTGATCAAACAGATTTGCAAATATGGAAAATTCACAAAGGCATGGTTTACATTGTTTGTTTATCCCCATGTCAAATGTCCTGGATTTTAGTGATTAATATAAAACTTTAGCATTTCTGTTTATTTTCCTATTCATTTCTTTAGTGAAAGTGACTTCTACTTAAGAAAATAAATCATAATAAAATCAAGCAACAGCTGCATAAGCAGAGAATGGCATGGAAAACAACAGGTTTTCCAGGCACACGTTCCTTGTAAAGAGCATTCTTGGAGCTGTATGAAACCAGACTGGCTCATTCCTATGGCTGTATTTCTGCTACAGAGAGAAAGCTAAGGAGCTGTGGGACTGGATGCACTCCCTGGAGTCTGAGAAATTTGACTTCACGGAGAAGCTGAAGAGACAGAAGTATGAGGTGAGTGTTTCTGATTTCCAGAGCTCTAACACTCCTGAAGGAAAAGGCAAATGTGACTGTATTTTCTTTTTTCATGACCTTTCTACACGTGGTTTACTGTATGAAGACAAACCTGAAGTTTGCTTTTCTTTCCCCAGCTTCTTTCAGCTTTTTAATGTAGCGCCTGGATGATTTCAGAAGTCTGTGCTTTTAAAGCAAATTAAAATGTGAAATTCCATAATGAAGATAGAAGATCCGTGGGTACCGAAGGCAGATAACCATTAGTAGCAACAAACTATGCCACCCCAGTCTTAGAGGCTCTGAGGTTTTAAAACCTCTACAATTATATTAGTAGCATCAGTGGTGCAACGGTTTTTACTTAGGTCTGTTATGTTCATTTCATGGAAAGGTTTTTTCTAAGACAGCCTGCTGAATTCCTGGAATCACCTTGCTGGAGATTGGTGGAGCTATAGGACAAGGAATATGTTCATGGTAATTTTGCAGTGTAATACATTGGCAAGACCATGGTTAACTAAAAAGATGTAATTTCATACCTTTAAAAAAAGAGAGTTGACTGAAGAACAACTAATTACCTAATTAATTGCAACGCAACTCACAAATTAGGTGCTAATTTATGCCGAGAGCCAAAATAAAATAGAATGTTGTGGGGACACAAACCAGTGTTGTGGTGAAAACCAGTTTTGCTTTAATCTCCCTCAGGTGGTAACACTACGTAAGAGGGTGGAAGAGCTGAGTAAATTGTAAGTACAGAGTGCCTGTGACAAAGCTCCCAGGCTCAGCCAGCAACGCATGGTCTGCCTGCATGGGCCACTTCAAGGTGACCATGGAACTGGGGCATTAGGTCAGTGTTCACCAAGAGGTCTTTCAAGGATCATGCAACTGAAGCCTGGATAAGAAATTCACCCCGTTTGTCCCACAGACATCAACATCTAAAATGAAAGGGGTGAAAGACAATGCTCTTCCGATTGTATAAACACTTCCCATATAAAAAGTATTCCAATGTCTGAATTTTCTTTGTTCTTCAAAGTAGCAGACCAGGTTCCTGCATATTCAGACATGAGGTTTTAAACTTCAAGACCCCGGCTTATAGGATAACAGTGCAAATTCTGTACTACCACTTCCATTTCTCCTCTTCTCTCCTTCGATCCCATCCTTATAATAGACCTCTGAACCTCTTGCCCCATGTATATAAGGTTTAGGCACAGGTCCTCCTACGGTAAGTGTGCTCTTTGATTAGCCACGGGGTCAGACTAAAATTTTTTCCCCCCTTCCTCTAGCATTAAGGAGGCTCCACAGGAAGCTGTAAGTAACTGGATTCTCATGTTCCAGGTGTTTTATTTTAAGAGGTGGAAAACATCTGCCTAATAAACCCTCTGGACATTTAGAAATTTAGAAACTGGCTAAAAAGAGAGACCACTAATAGCTGTGATCTTCCTTTTTATTTTTTAGTAATAATACAAAGCTCACTGTAAGGAGTACTACAGCCAAAGACACTTTTTGGACATTTCTGAGTCTTTTTTTATATGGATTTCTTATACTTTTTAATATTCATAAGAAACAAGGCAGTTGGGTCTAAATCATCACTGACTCAAATTTTGCATGTAACTGGTGTATCTGGTTAATTTTAAGTTAGGTATCAATAATAATGAGAAACTAACAAGTTTCATCTCGAACATACATTGTGCTTAGGGCTGGGCACTTGTTTTCCACCTCAACTTGCAGGATGTACTCTGTGGAAAGTGGTCTTCAGAAAGGACATGGTTGCTGCTGTGATAAGGTAACGTTCCTTGGCCCAGCCCACACATGGAGCCAAGCTTTCTCCTGAATAAATGCAATCGTATGTTGTTTTCAGGTCATCTCACTCAGAAACCGAATTGATGAGCTGGAGAAACAGTAAGTAGAGCCTCCCCATTCCATTCAGTTTCATCTGACAGCATCATGGGACTCCGGTTCATTTCTAACAGATCTTCGTCATCCCAACGTACATGAAACAAACACACAGCTTTTTTCACAAAGCTGCTTTTGGTCTTTGATGAAACATGCCATTAACTCTGTTTGCCTTCAGCATAATAAGGAAGTCAATGCAAAATCCTTCAGTGCTGAATTAGCATCTGGATTATTAGAGATAAGAGTTTGAATAAGCATACTGCATATCACGACCAATGAAATATCTTTTAAGACTACAAAGACTAAATTACCAATGCAGATTTAGGAAGACTGTACAGAAGAATCGGAATTGTACTCTTTTGTACCTCACAGTACAACAGAGATCACATTACAATCATACACAATTTAGTAGCCCATGTTTTTTGTTATGATGTCTTGTGGTTTTGTGTTTGCTGCAGTGTTTTCACGGATACAGTCAAAGAAAATGCATACAGCAATGTATCTGGGAAATTGCCTGTAATATCACTGTCTATTATTTGTCTCTATGTGTGTCTCTATGTGTGTCTCTATGTGTAAGGTCTCTATGTGTGAAACATCAAGAAAAATGTCTATGTATGCAAAGCTCTTAAAATCTTAAATGAGGAAATGTGGTATTCCAATTTCAATACTTGGACATCTAGAACAAAAATGTGTAATTAAAAAAACTGCTGGCTTTTATCAAGTTATAAATTGTTATCCACAATCCTGCATTATGAATTCCCCTATCTACTGGACATAAATGCATTTTCTTTGCCATCTCCGGTGCCTCTGTTAGTGTTAAGTGTTTGACTGCTTCTACAAGGGATTTCAAGAAGGTATGTGATCAGTAGCCAAGTTGCGTGTTGCGAATATTCTTTCTTCATAGAAGAAAAACATTGCATGAATCTCATCACAATAAACTGCTTAACATTAAGCAGTCTATTCAACAGGTCAGTTGCAGATCCATGCAACAATTTGTTTTGGTGTATTTAATAGCCCTTTCTGTAAAACAAAAAGTAAGTACTGCATGGTTTGAGATAAAGAAGCATGCTTACTTTTATGATTTTCTGTTCCTTTCATACCTCAGTGGTTGCAAGCATGTTGTATGAGACTTCACTATGTCTTTAAAGCAGTAAATCATTATCAAATCTGTACGTATTTCTTATGTGAAGCATTGATCATTTAATTCAACTTTATTTGTCATTATACTTACACAGGTGCATAGTATAGTGAAAAGTGTTTCTCATTAGTCACTCAGGTGCAGTATATAAATAGAACAGAAGATAAGACAATAGACAGTACCACAATAACAATAACAGTGTAATAACATGACATTTAATCAAAACTGTAATCAATACTGTACCTTACAAAAGTAATAGATCAATCAAGCCATAGGGAGAATGGAGTAAAGCAGCAAAAATACAGAAAAAAAAATGCATTCATTTTTCCATGTGAAAAGTATTCAATGAATTTGCATCGTTTTAACTAAATAAGAAAATGTTTGGATCACAAGCTAAGCAGATCTCATTTATATATGTCTTATGAATTGGTAATGGCCACATACAGTATATCATCGCTTAAAAGGTGTACTAACAAACAAAAAGTACACCTTGCATTGTGCTTCCATAATAAATTATACCTTTTGATTTTCTGTAGTTATACTAGAGGCTGTCTTGTATGTATTATTTACTTTTACAGGCATAGTCTATTATTTTCAGACCTTTCTAGACTCACACAGCTGTGCAAAGGTCTTTTTCACTGGTCTATTTTTCACCCACATCTTTATTTCTTTGTTTAGTTCCAAGGTATCCATTAATCTTTCTAGATCTATATTTTGTAGTACAAAAGGTAACCCTTTAGATTTATGGATGTGAAGAGAGGAGCAAATCACGTAATAACAATCTAAACTCTTTTTTAATTGTAGAAAACTAGTGGTGGCTTTGAGCAAATTGCTGATGTTCATGATATACATTTATCACTGCAGAATATTTTCTGTTTATAGTACAAGACCGGTGGAGCGGGTTATGTTTTTATCACATGAATGGCAGATGTTTAATTCAGAAGAAAAATAAAATGACAGCAAATCTTGTGAAGGTTTTAAAGGAATCAGACCTTACTCTATCCCTTATAAATGAGATCAAAAGCCAGAGATCAAAGGAAGTCTAGAGCTTAGTGTGCCACACCTCTGTTTCTCGGGCGCGAATCCTGTCTGTCAGCAGTGGGGACAGGAAAATTGAAGTGCTTTTCTCTCTCGCCTTCCTTGTCGTATTACAGCAGCAAGAAGGGTGCTGCTGTTCGTCGCAGGAAGTAAGCAGCCCAACCAGCAGCATTCAATCCCAGACTGCACCCACCCCACTGCTTGGAGCTTGGACTACTTCAGTAGAGGACACCTGCCTGCCGAAGCAATCCAGATTTCAACTAGAACAATGGCTTGGCAACAGCTCACACTCTTGTCTTACTCTCTGTTTGGTGTTGTGACAGGTCCAGCAGAACCATTATTTCTTCTCTTAGAATAGCTGCCATTGTACCTTCCCATCCTGGACTGGCATGGTTCTCATTTTTGTAAATAAAAGCGTAACTGTTCTACATTACTGTCTGTAGCCCTATGATTGTTTGCATCTCAATAAAAAAAAAACAGTCAATCGAAAGCTCTGTTGTTTTGCTAAGAAGGAAATTAATAAGTGGAGAAGATCAGATCCTGGTGGCAACCTGGAAGAAGCCCAAGATATTATTCGTTAAAAGAATGAAATGGTCAGGTGGGCATCACATTCTATGAAATACTGAAATTAGCTGGAAATAAAGCTACTATGCTATCACGTATACATGTAAACACCAGAAACAAACAAGCAGATGTTTTGATATACATTTTTAAAGATAAAATAACTTAGCTCTTTTCGTCTCAAAGGATCCGTGCTTGCGTGAGTTTGATCAGGGGGCTCCGGTTTCCTCCCACGGTCCAAAGACATACTGGTAGATTAGCTGGCTTCTGTGCACACCGGCCCTGTGCCCTGTGCCGTGTGTGTGTGCGTGTCTGTTTGTGCCCTGCGATGGATAGTAACTTGCCGAGACTGGATCCGGATCCTCCCGGAGTAGCGCTTTTTGTGCTGGAGATGGACCGTGTTTTAAAAATGTTGGAGAAGCAAAAGGAAAGAAATTATACTAAAAAAAATAACGGTTTGTTAAAACGTGCTGAGAATGAGCACAGCAAATGGTTTTTACTAACATGTTTTTTTTATTCATTATATGGTTCGTTATTACGGAGCGCTTAAGGGGACAAGGTGTAATTTCTTTTTTTGAAACATTTCCTATGCATACACCAGTTCAGATTCTATTTCCATGTATTGCTTTTGATTTTTAAATCTTTAATCTGAAGGATTAAACTTTTATTTGGAACCTTGTCAAACGTCCATGGAAATATATCATGTCGTGACACCTACTATAAAGGAACTAAAGGGATACTCTGCCCAGACACCAGCTAGGGTATACAACATTTACATGAATTTAATCGTTCATGTAGTTTTAAATTGTCTTTAGAATAATTCCAGGTATTTTGTATAATAAATAAAAAACATTAACATTTTAACCCCCCAGAATTCACGTCATACACCCTAAACTCTCCTGCGAATTTGATACTTTATTTTTTCACTGTCATTCGAAAAGATAAACAAGTCATGTGCAGTCACAAAAAAAGGCTCGAAAAGCGCTTTACAAAGGCGTCTCGGTAGCATTCATGCTTGAAAAGCGAGCAAACGGGGGGAACAGCCTAGTCTCGGAACTGAAACGTGTAGCTGTATCTGAATCCACAGCTGTCATTCAGGAGCCGAGCCCGCCCCCAGAGTGACCTTCCTCAGCGGACACGCCCCGTCCACCTGGTCCACAGGTGCGCCCGGCAAGATGGCGGCGGGGCGAGTTTCTGCGGCTTTAGGTGCGTTTGCGTTTTATTTCTATTTTTCTTATTTTAAATGCAAAAAATAAAATCTAAGTTCCAGGAAAGCAAGACAGACAAAATGCACTGTCGTTGCTACTTTTGTTAATAATATCTGTTTTCGGTTTAATTTGTGTTTTAGGACGCCGAAATTAATGTTTTGTCCGTTTGTTTGTGCTCTCTGAAGTTTTAAAGATCTGCATTAAGCGTTTTTATACTATCTTTCATTTAAGTATGTTTTTTTTAACATATTGTATCTCAATGTCCTTTAACGAAAAAAAGCTGTAGTTTACCTTCAAACATTTGCGTTATAAAGTCAATAGATGTTTAATTTCTCCCTTTCGGATTCAGGTTATCAGCGCTTTCCGCTCCGAAATTATAAAATATTGTCTAAATTAAATTGATTAATTCGTAAGTTTTTTATGTCTCCAGATGGCACTAGGAATTTAAGAATGGTCCCACAGTTATGAAAAGGGGTTTCTTCCTGGTTAAGTTATATTGCCTTCCGCTATTCTATTTATATTTGTGTAACACGATAAGACAACACGTCTTTCCCAGCATTTTAACACCAGAACACCAGGATTTATGCAAACTATATAACTTATTTTCGTTGTTCTTTTGTTGAAAGAAACAGGAAATTCTAAGGCGCTGGTTCTTTTATTCATCTATTGGGTAAAGATGGGGGAAAATAACAATTGTAACGATGGTGTTCAAAGCAGGGAGTTAAATCGTATATGATACACGCTGTAAGTGGTACGTGCTCTTACATTTATAGGTAGCATTGAATTTCTATGTGGCTGAATGTATATTCTAAATATTAGAGGTGGGACAGGAATGTGTCTGATTTCCTATTAAATTACCTATTGGTTTCTTATTGAATTTGTGCGTGTTTGGTTAGGCTAGGTTTGATTGATGGAGATAACGCCCAGAAAAATACCCGAGATATGCAAGTTTTTTGGCAGGAAAATCTGGAGCCACTTAAAAAGGGGGTGGCCTCTGCAGTTTCCAAGTCAAAATGCGATAGGGTGTCCCCTTTCAGTCGGTGACTGCAAGGATAAGACAGCCCACCCATCGCCTCGTTTCTCAGAAACTGTTCGCACAATCTCTCCGCCAAAAAACTCACCAACATTTTTCTGGACCACGGGGGTACGGGGGGTGGGACTGTCTCTGCATGAGAAAGGAAATAAAATCAAACTTCCATTCATTTATTGAGCGAAAATTGTATATGAAACATGGCATTCCAGTACAACAGATGCACAGGTTTGGAAGTGAAAATCAAGATGCACTTAAATTGCAAAGTGTTCAAGTACGTTATACATTATCACTCTATTTTTAATAGTGATACATTATCACTATTTTTTTTTACAAGTAAACAGTACGAAAAGATTTGCAAGCAACTACATGGAAAAACACAGAGCACGTTACTGTTTCTCCAACGCACCTCCACTTCCTGCAAAACAACAGAAATCATCAGTATTAGCTGCGGTTTCTGTTTCGAACACAGGACATCGAAATTTATTCCAGTTAGTCAAACTGTATTGACGGACACGTTCAGAAGATGAAACAGTTTTAAAAGATTTACAGCTGGAATAAAGCGCTTAGCCTTGTGTAACAGAAAATGTTCCTGATCAACAGGGTATTGAAGTACTCAGGCTTACATTTAAAGTGTGATTACCGAAGACACAACACTATTAGCATATTCTTCCGAAACAACGTAGTTAACACATGAATAATTAATAATTAATCCAAATCTTTCTAGGCTACGTGGGATTAATTGTTGTGGTGCAAAACGGTTTCTTAAGAATCTGTATTATGCGCATTCAAAAAAAACTGATCGCAGTTTTAGCCGAAAATGATTTCTATAAACTGCACGCCTACAGTGTTGTCGAGTCAAAACCATTTCTGCCGTGGAGAAATCTAGTATCGCCTAGTTTGACTCTTTTCTTTTTTTTTTTTGACAATGTGGATCACATTTTCCAACAGTTTTTGGGGGTTCAGTATATATTGTACTTCAATATGATATACGTAAACGAATAAAAGGTTTATACTTGAGCCAAGCATGGCCTGTCGGAAGACACCAAACTGGAAACGCAAGAACAGATGTATTTAGACGAATATTTATTTAAACGCAGAATACATTTCAATAAGATACGTGTGAAGAAATGAATAAAAAATGTTTATACTTACGTCTATACTCCCATTATTTACTGCGAATCATGTCCTGCCCAAACACTAAACTGAAAACACAAAACAGCAGAATTTAGAATTTAAACACCATTTCAATTGAGAAATTTTAGATGCAAGAGTAATTTTACCATGATTATAAGAACATAATCACACAACATACTCTGGAAAATAACTTAAAAACTACAATTCTAGGCAGGCTATTTTCGGTTTGGTTAAATGCACACGCTTGATTTTTTTAAAGTTCATGAAGTGTTTGAAAAAGAAAGATTAAGATAAAGAAGTATACATTCTGCCAATACAGCAGTGCCTTTACTGCTACAATAGAGCTCTTCTTCGATGTAAAAGGAGCACACGTTAAGTTTCCAAAGCGTTGGAAAAGAAAACCCATGGAAAAAATGCTATTTTTCTCTCAACAAAAGTACGTTTTACCCCTTCCCCCTGCGAGGCTTAGACTACATAATTATATAATTTAATCTACATTAAAGGGAAAAATGTGGGCGTGGTCAGACTGACGGTCCAGGTTGTTTTTTTTCTTTGCTCCACCTGAAAACATGTGGAAGAAATCGAGGACGTTTTCAGAACCCCCAATGAGTAACAAGTTTCCTTTTTTCCCCACAAGGCCATATGAGTAATCGCAGTTAGTTAATTTACTCCTTATGAGTATTTGAGAGTCACAGGAATGGAATGTGAATGAAAGAATTTAGAAATAGTTCGAGTAGGTCGCTGCGTCAGCATACGTAGGCTGCAAGGGAGCAAGTAAAGGTTTATTCCATGCTGAAAAGAGTTGAAAAGAAACAACGTTTCGGCTGTGGAGCCTTCTTCAGTTGTGTCAGCCTTCTCAGGTCACACACCTAAAGAGGGCTCCACAGCCAAAACGTTGTGTTTCTTTCCTTCTCTATTCAGCATGGAATTTAGAAATATGTTGGCAAGCTGTGGGGTCTATAGTTCTTTGCAGTATCTTAATGCTGCAGCAATAAATCAGATTTTCCATCTGTGAACACTTATCATTCAGTTTCCCACCTTTGTACTTCTTATTCATGCAGGTGATGTGTTACAAGAGCATGAGAAAGTTCACATGAGAGGGCAGTATTTGATCCATGTAGCCCTTTTGGTGACTGCCAATATGGGCACCAACAGGCATATGTTAAACTCCAGACACAACCCTCATAGCCTGCTGGGGAACATCACTATTTTTAAAATGAGTACAGAGGAGCAAAGCAATGTTTTTATAATGGGACTGCAGCACTGACTTTCTCTGTTGTGATACATCAACAGGCTGGGTATGCCGAAAGGTTTAGAAACAACATACTTCTAATAATGTTCAAGGAACATTTATTAAAGCGATGTCGTAGTGTCCTTAGAAGGCTTCTGTAGGAACCCAGCATTTTGGCTCAAGCCCAGATTGTGGTGTATGCACCTATGCACCGCACTATCAGAAATGTCCCCCCGGTGTTTCTGTGGCTTGCCGATCACCTTCCCTGCAATAGTAACTATTCTAGAAATCTTGTTAACTTCACACTTCATGCTCCGGTTCCAAGTAAAACAGTTGGAATGGCAATCTCTTGTTCTGACACGAGGCGGCGCTGTCCCTCACCAATATCGGTGTCAACATTCCCTACGACTGCAAAACCTCATCTACTGTCAGCCCTCAACGGTATGCAATATTGTACTTTGTATCAGATAAGAGCAGTTCTTCACTGAACACTTAATTTGTCTGAGTTGCCCATACAAATTCACACAGAAACGCTTAGGTTATATATCACCCTGCAACTCACAACTGGCAACCCACTGAAGCTAAGCAGGTGTGAGCCTGGTCAGTACCTGAATGGGAGGCCTCCTGGGAAAAACTAACGTTCCTGCTGGAAGAGGTGTTAGTGGGGCCAGCAGGGGGTCCGTGTGGGCTAATGCCCCAGTATAGTGACGGGGACACTATACTGTAAACAGGCGCCGTCCTTCGGATGAGACGTAAAACCGAGGTCCTGACTCTCTGTGGTCATTAACAATCCCAGGGCGTTTCTCGAAAAGAGTAGGGGTGTAACCCCGGCGTCCTGGCAAAATTTCCCGTTGGCCCTTACCAATCATGGCCTCCTAATAATCCCCCTCTATGAATTGGCTTCATTACTCTGCTCTCCTCCCCACTGAAGGCTGATGTGTGGGGAGCGTTCTGGCGCACTATGGCTGCCGTCGCATCATCCAGGTGGGGCTGCACACTGGTGGTGGTGGAGGGGGGTCCCCATTACCTGTAAAGCGCTTTGAGTGGAGTGTCCAGAAAAGCGCTATATAAGTGTAAGCAATTATTATTATTATTATTATTATTATTATTATTATTATTATTATTATTATATTGCAAAGATGTGAAACAGCTTCGGTTAGACCCTAGTCTGACCGACTTGAACTACCTTGCTACCCACTTGAACCGCTTCGGTTAGACTACCCTATTACTTAGTTGCATATATAGAAATGATATAAATTGATATGCATTACCATCGTTTTGATGAATGTATGTATGCAAAACTATATTATTTGATGAACCTTGTGCTTCCTTTCTTCCTCCGTGGTCGGCTTTTCTTTCGTATAGTGATGAATATCTCACTATATGAATATAGTGCTGTAATGAAGTTGCGAAAGCATGTAGTGCATTCTGTTCTAATTATAGATCTTTTAATGGCGCCGTTTAAAATAGCACCCTCTCACTGCTAACAGAGCATTCCGCGAAACAGATATTAAAGTTTATCGTTTTACAGTGTGTTTCCAATGGGTGTATACAGCGTTTTAGTGAAGGTTTTATATTCGATTCCTTGCCTTTTATGCCCTATAGACATTAAATCCTTCTTTTCACTTTACGGTGCGTTACAGTAATGGTAGTTGATCAAGTATTTTGCTGCGATTGTGCTGTTTCCCCCCTGGATAAGGGCGTCAGCTAAAATATTAATAATATAGTAAAGTATTTATATAAATGAACAGATTATTGAATTTGATGTATTTATTTTTGTGTCAATTCTATAAAACCTAAAGGTATTTCTAAAATATTAAAATGTATAGGCGCAAATAAACCTTGTAAGGGAAAACTTAATACATAAACATAATTGTTTAAATAAATGTATAATTTTATCCGTTTCAGTATTTTAGAATTAAATAAACGTTATTTATTGAATAAATGCAAACATATTCTACACCACAGGAAATCGGCACAGAACTGTATTTCAGTTAGTGCTTTTAATATGTGCAACTTGAAATGAGATCAACTTACAGAGAAGACCGGTTTAACCCTTGTGTCCGATCAAAATAGTTTTTGTTTCTCAGTTTGTTCACGAACGCTTCGAATGTCACAATTCTGTTGTATAATTAGTGTACAGGATTAAAATGATGTGGAATATTTAATTTTAATATTTAAATTATATTACAATGATTAGAATATGAACTGCATACGACTCTACACGAGTTCTCTTGATAACGTTCAGTAGTTTTTTTTTTTCCAAATTGTTCTGCCTTCAGATTTGAACAGTTGATTTTCGACAGAACTGTTGCCATCACCCCTCTCAAAATGTACCGATTTCGAGGGAATATTCTTGCCATTGATGACTGCTCTTTTCCAAAGAAGGTTACTTATTAAGCTATTTTTTATCATAAATGGAGTTTATTCGTATTTAAGCTAAAATCGAAAGAATTTGAATATTTTCTGCTTTCTATATACCTGGATTTTTAAAGTTATTTGCTCAAGATATTCAGACAGTATAAAAGTTTTTGCTACGTACAAACGAATCGTTGATAAATCCTACGGAGTTCAACGGACACATAGCTTAAAGATCACTTATTCTTGTAAACCGGATGTGAAGATTAAAAATTGTCTTCTCGCAAAAAATGAAAAATCTTGTTGTGCATGTTCACCAAAATAACAGGCGACCTATTAAAAGAATGGCGTGTAAAATCTTACTTATATAATCATATAAACACACAGTTAGCAGTACAGTGTCTTTAAAATAAAATTGATATTACTTCTGATGTTTTATGTACATGACAGAGTATCCCCAATCTAAACGTTTAGATATTATTTCAATTAGAATAATGTAAAAGCAATATATGTAAAAGCATTTGGAACAAATAACGAATATACTGTCGTTTGTTCCCTACTAACAATTACCTTCAATTCGTTCTTCATCTTTATACTGCCTAAATTATTATTATTAGCCTAAATTGTGATTTTGTCAACAAAGAATTCACAAGGTAAAAAAGATAAAACAGACCACGTCATTTATATATAAATATCCGTGTTGGTTTCTTTATTTAAACTGTGACATTCACCCAGATTTTAAGATATATAAATATAAAGTTAAAGATTTGACACAACAAACCAAGCGACTCTATAAACAAGCAACATTAAATATTTAAACATTTTAAGCAAAGCAGCTCTTATTTACAAGTATACATTACAAAAATGGTCCACATTCTCCAGATGAGTTTCGTTTTGGCTTTTTGTTTGTTTGTTTTTTATATAAAGTGGAAATACTTTGCGGAGATGACTTTGTTTCCGAGATGAAATGATCTAGAGCGGTACCGCTTTATAATGGCATTAATAAATGACACCGCTTATCATATCAGCCCTGATACGGATCTGTACCACATGACCCAAATCTCCTTTAGGAAAAACATGCTGTTCTATAAATACTGTTTGTTGACACAAATACATTTCTCTTCGCCAGAGTTTTCTGACGTAAGTATTCACATTTTCTTGTTAGTCTTTGACAGTGCATCTGATATAATACTGTAAATCAATCAATACTGAAATGGCATGAAAAGGGATATGTCGCCTTTAAGGCATTGGAACACCTTTCTATTAATAGGAAGAGAATGGCAACCATTCCCCGGTTTAGTCAGAAACGTGGTAACTTTGTCCACCGTCTTTAGAGGAATAATCGTTCGTTAAAGAATGTATAGTTTGTTCGTCAGTCATTTCGGGAGAAACCCGGCGCATTTATAACACTTGGTAGATGGGGTTGGGGTCGTGGGCCAGCTGAGTGCAGTTGGTGGGGGACTGGACGGGCGCCCCGGCTTCACTCAAGATGGATCCCTCTCGGGGTGACGAGGGGCTGCCTTCGCCCCCGTCCTGCGCGGGCAGCGCCGGGCACGTCGAGGTGTCTGTTGAAATGCGCTCCACGATGCTGGACAGACAATCCAAGCTGGAAATGACCGAGTTCTTACTAGTCCTGGAATCTGAAGATATAAGAAATAATTGTGACGTTGTGCTGCTAACGGAACTGATTTCACGGGATCTGAAATGTACTCATGCATAAACATCCTTCTGACTAAGTTCGTGCTTTACATATGTGTATACCTATATGCTGACATGGTCATTCTTGAGACCAGCATTCCCGTTACACTTGCTAGAAGGCCACAATAAAACATCTCAACTAATGTCAGACGATACTGTATGATTCCCAAGCCTGCTATCCCCTCCTTCTAAAGGAAAAAAAAAACAAACAGCTGCACCCAGTTGGGTCTAGCCTGACGCTTACCATTTGGAGTTTCGGAAAAGTAAGCGCTGTCATAACTGTTTCTTCTCCTCGAAGTGCATGTTGGGCCGCCGAAATCCATCTGGAAGAAAGACATTTCGAAATGTTCGGCTTGCGGTACAACGCACGTGAATCGCATGAAGTTTACAGTCAAACCAACGCGCCACTAAGTTACGATGGCAAATCTCACTATGTTAAAATCATTAAAATCATCTCACCATTCCATCCGAGCAGTTGGACCGGGGGCTGGACGCGTCGGAGTCCCCGCTATAGTGCTCCAGTACTGGGTAGTAGTTTTCATCCTGACCTCGGAGAAGGGATTGTAGGGACTCAATGTAGCTAATGGCGTTTCTGAGAATTTCAACCTTGGGTAGCCTCTGGTTGGGGTTTGTGGATGTGCACCTCTTCAGGGTCTCGAACGCCTCGTTCACTTTGCTCAGCCGCCTCCTCTCCCTCATCGTGGCCGCTTTCCGGCGGTCGGCGTTGGTGGTCTTCCTCTTGCAGGCTTTGCAAGCCCAGAGCAGGCATCGGCCCGCCTGGTGGTGCCCGCTGGGAGCCCGAATGTGTTCGTCTTCGTTGTGATGGTGGTCGTCCGCCTTCAGCAAGCCCACGTGAACCAGCCTGGGGTCCAGGTCTTCGAAAAAGTGCATGTCGCTGGTGTTAAAGCACGGGTCATCGTAGAAGTCGTCAGCGCTGGTGATGGGAAAAGTGATATCCGATAACTCCATGGTGAAGGGCTGATTTCTGCCTCCAGAAAACAAAACAAAACAAAAAAACAACAACAACAACGAAAAAGTTTACTTTGGCTTTTGCCTTTCTCTTCTAGGAGTAAAGTTTAACTTCAGTTCTTCAAATGTTACAAAAACAAAAACCCCGAACGCGTCTTAAATGTAGAACTTGACGTGACTTTAAAGCCAAGGATGGTGAGTGCTTGTCTCCAGGACTGCCTGCTTAAAGCACCCTTTGGGTACCTGTTGCTGAGCATGTGTTTTTTGCTCTATTTATGAGGACTTGCAGCTCTTGGGCGTATCTTGGCTTTCGGACACCTCTCTGCAGTGACCAATGAGCACGGAGAGAGGCAGGGCACGGGCGAGCCTCTTGGGAGGAGTTCGCTGTTCCCCTCTCCTCTCCGGTGTCATCCTGGAGAATGTTCAGGAAAGAGAAAACACCGCGGGTGATAAGGGGATCACGCACAACTTTTGAATTTTCGTAATAAAAACATCATTTTTATCATGTTCTAGGGAGCGCATTTTTGTTAACAATCTATTCAACTCACCCCCGAGAAAATAATACATAAAGCAGAATAGACCGCTGGTGTGTTTGGATACACGAATTATTTTGCGACTCGTATAAGCTTCTGTATACTTGTTAAACTGGCCATTACGCCTTTTTATTGAAGGGTCTTTCAAAAAAATATTTTTCTACATTATCAAGTTTAAAAGTTCACAAACTAACCTTAGAAATGCTCAGGGATAATTTTTATTTTTATTTGAAGCAAATCACTGAACAGCTTTTCTTTCTTATTGTCAGACCGGGTTTATCTCACTAACGGGTTTATTTTGATACTGGAAAACATGGACGTTTCGATGTTGTCCTTTATCGTTTTAGATGGTTTTCTTTTTTATTCTAATTTCAGCCTTTAACAGCTAGTTTTCTCAGAAGGGGGTAGTTTTTCACTTATTTGAAATGTTGATCTCACTCTCTCATTTATCGTCAAATAGGTTATATACAGTATCAACTTGCTGACTGGTTTAATCGTGAATGTTTTAACTCAAATGTTTTATTCGAAAAGTTTTTTAGAAAGTGTTCTCATTACCACAAGCACCCTTGGGTTATAAAATATGCTAAACGACTACATTACTTCCTTTTAAATCGAAACCGTATTTTTTACAAGATTGATCATACATTTTTCACGGTGCCTTCTTATTTATAACTCTTTAGATTTAATTCTAATAAGCGTGTCGTTCCTGAACGGTTCTTGAGGTTTTAAATTTCATAATAACATTCCATAAATAGTTGGATATTTAAACCATATTATATTTTTATTAAAAGCTTAATTATTTTAGTCCATTTTAACGAAGTTATTTCTGTATTATGTTTTATTGTGAAGAAAGATGCCGCATCACCAGATACAACAACCGTAGCCCTGAAGTTTCCGATGACAGCACCCTTCTGCTCTCAGGTAGTGAGTTTTATCATGCGCCACTAGATGGCAGTAAAGAGTCGAGGTAAAGCGAATAGATCGTTCCCACTTAACGCACATCTCAAGCCTACCTTATAGTATTTGTATATACGTATTAAAAAAAAAAGGTATCTGGAAAAGTAAATTCGTCCCCAAAGTTTACTTGTTTTAGCACCATATACTGTCTCATTGAAAAACAGCGAGAGAAACCTACGTTATTTCAAAGGTCCTCTTTTAATTTAAAATTTTACCACGATCCGATTTTTTTTTGTTGGCCTGTAAGAAAGTGCAAGGTTCCGTGATTAAACCAACAAAAAATCACCCTAAAAAGGAATATGTGCTTTATATTTCGTTAAAGGTAGCTTTATTGTAGAATACTGTATCATCAAACATTAGAATGTAAATCGTGTTTAGCCAATTAGCTCATACACCATTCAGGGTACAAATCCATGAGTTAAATTGGGTTTAAGTTTCTTTTCCTGATTCTGTCAGGGTTCCCTTTGTTATGTACAGGTTTAAAAGCCAGGCAGGCAATTTACAGAATCCTAAAACAATGCAAGATCTCGGGTGTATCGCCACATCTTAACGAATGTACCAATGTATGTAGAACAATGTATTTTTTCGTTGTATTAATTTCCTTAGGAAATACACACCTTGAAGTCGTACAATTCTATACATTTTTGGGTTCATTTCTTTACATATTACGTCTAGAAAAAATGTTAAACGATTTTATTGAAATAATAGAGCAATCATAAAATAATAATAATAAAAGAGCAATCATAATAAGACAAAGTCTAACAGTTTATATATGAGTAAGGATTTCTTTTCATTGTGGGCATTTTTATTTCAGGACGAAAGACGGGGTTCCTAATATTCGGGTTAAATACGGAACAGCTTAGTTACAGTAAGTAGTTGTTTAGCATTAATATCCCAATAATTATCCAATCTACAATTGAATAAAAAAATACAAGATCTACAAAGTTCTTTATCACAACTTTAAAACTTTACAGCGATTCCACAATACAAACACAATTCAGTAACATTTTGAAAAGGTTTAATATTTATCTGAAGCCGGTGAGCGTTTAATGTCGTGTAACGAATAACCGCTTGAAGGAATTTTAATCAAAACGTCGCTGCTTAATATTTCCTGGGACAATCATATTAATGCGTGTTAATATGATTATTTTAAACAAAAGGCACCTGGTCATCTACAAATGTGCAATTAGATCTGTTTATTAGTGTTCGTGTTCGCAATTAACCGTTTCTACAGGAACACATACGTTAACACACCCATTTCTGGGAACGTAAGTGTAAGGAATTATTATTAATTAATAAGAGGTGGGAAATTTAATTAGAAAACAAGGAGAACTGTCTAGGTAGGGGCAGTCAACAACGTCTTCCGACTTAAACGCGCGGAACCGGTATACAAACGGATATCGCAGTGAACAGAGGACAGGAAAGAGGGGTAGTTTGCTGTATACTGTAGTGCAGTCTCAAGTCCCATTGTTTGGCATCAAGTAGTACTTAAAGCACTTGATAACACTTATTGTAGTATTATTTTTTTAATTAACCCCTCTATAATAGTTTAGCGCTTTGAAATTGTAATTATTAGTAGTAATAACAGTTAGAATTCAGTGTAATCGGTTCTGCAGAGGAAATAAGGACTTTTAAACAAAAGATACAAACAAGCTCATTAACAATCAATTTATCAGTACCACCTCTATGAATAAAGCAGTTTTATTATAATATTATTACACCCCAAAATGAATATTTTTAAAATGCGAATGAATAAAAGCTGTTGCGAGATTCTCGCAACCATTTATATGGTTTTACTAAAAAAAACTAGATAAAGAACAAGGAACTTTGGATTTAAACGGTATTAAGATGCAATAACCCACTCGCTCGATGTCATTAACAGAGCCTGGATTAAGGAGCATTCGGATTATTTGATACTTTTTTATCACTATAATTGTGTTGAATGCAAGATTTAAGGAAAATCACATCTGACTTCAGTAAAACACGACAGTGTACCTAGTCAATATCTTTACGTCTACGGCAATAGAAGCCATACAGTATGCTCATGTTCTGTTAATGTTTATATCGCATTGTCAGTGAGCGAATAAAACCCATAAAGCTGTCTTCTGTTCTGGATACGCTTTGTAACATAAAAGCATTTAGAAAGACTAACATTTCACAGTTGTATCCAGTCTCTGATTGTTTTTTTTTTACATATTTAAATAGATGTAATACTAGCTACTGCATTTAATCACCATTGCTTCATCAAAGACCCAAGCTTTCTTTCACGCGGTTGAACCTATGCAATATTTTTAGTCTTGGTCATCCTTTTCTATCTGTCCGTCATAATCCTACATACAAAAAAATCATCAGAAATTAATCTGTTTTAGGATTGCTTTTCAGTTTTCAGTTAGAACTAAAAATGACGTATTTGTTGGGCTATAAGTTAGTTGTTGATCCAAGAATTTCATTCACCCGTCTCTCAAAATAAGACGGAGTATCGGCTCCATCAACATAGCTGGGTAGTTTGTTCCATACCCCCACACCCCTTTGTCTAAAGGAGCGCTTCCTGCTCCCTGTTTTAGAAGTACTTAAACTCTTTCTGAAAAGAAAGTATGATTTTACAGGCTGTACCTGTAGATATAGGCTAGATATTTTTCACTAAAAGTAGCTATTCTACCAGGTGTAACAAAGTATTCACCTTAAGTGGCAGTTTTCACACTCACAGCCTATTGACCTACTAACAGCCTAATTAAATTCAATTTGCCATCCTATGGGAATTGTAAAGTTTGTCCCTAACATCAATATGCTAATTTTGTGTGTAATATGATCGGGACATGCCCGTTGCTTGCCGGGATAGACTCCAGCTCCCCGTGACCCTGATGGCTAAGGAAGTGGGTGGATGATTAAGAAAGAGTCCGACGTTTTCCACTTCACAGTTTTGGCACAAAGGTTCTGGTCTAAAATCACCATATTGTGATAAACCTTGTTTTTTACCAAGAAGCCCATTGTCCTAGCTGCCCAGGATGAGCCGAGGGGGATGATCAGTGTTCTTGGGATAGGGGGTACCATGTGAAATTTAGACAGATGTTTTCAAATCTTTGAAAATCTGTTTAAAAACTTGAACATCATTTTCTTAATCTCTCATTAAAGTGCAACAATTCAGTATTTTGAAGCTACTACTGTACTTTCAGATTTATCCCAGATAAAATACTATTCACTTCTTTCATGGGTATGAAATGGTTTTATCCAAAACTAAACTTAAATGTTTGTGCTGGTAATATACGTTGCTTTATGTCTCCAACTCCTCTTCAGCCGTGTACTTATAGTAAATCTCCATCTCCTTTACTCTAGTTAGTAGCATCAAGATACAAGAAGCTTCATACACACATAGGACTGTAAGTATGTGAATGATAGTATGGAAATAAATAAAGGTTAAAGCAAGATCCTACAACCACACCAGGTTTTAAAGTACTTTCATATCCTTTTTATTTTTTTTAAAAAGTGAAAGACAAACAAGACTTGAAAAGATGACCAACTGTTTTCCTGTTCCAAACACAACTGTACCATTGTATCGTGCTCAGAGGTAGGAAACCTGCTTATTTGCAGATCAAACATTATAGTGTTTTAACTTACAATAGTTTAATCCAGCCCTGTAAAATGAGGAATTCTTCCCCGATCAATAACAAAAATAATTTAAATGTTTGCTTTTTGCTCAAAAATGTGAGTGATAATGTTTGCATCAAAGGCAGAAAATGACAAAAATGCTTGAAACAGGAAAGAAATGAAAAGTTTTCCCTTCCACCTCTCACGCACCACAACCCACACACAACATGTGCTGTAAACTGTAGTTTTCAGAGCAGAAAACCTATATGAGTGAGTCAAATCAGAGAACATTTACTCAGTTGTTACAATTGGTATTGGTAGCTCATTGACCTGGGTATCTAGACTTTTATTAAAAGATTTCTTAAGTAATACGTACAAAAATATTTCTTAAAAGGAGCCAGGAATGTCCCCTGAAAGGGTTTCTTTGGTCAGGTTCCCTTCCATGTCGGAAAAGAATACGAACACTTGTTTTTTTTTTTTCAAAAGCTTATACTGAAATATCAACTCAATAAAATCAATTGGTTTTCACAAAGGAAAAGCCAAGAGTTATTTTAGAAAAGCTGACATTGAAGGTTGAACCAATTTGCAGGAACCGCTTAACACAGGATTAAAAACACACTGTTGAACTCCAGTTGTGCTTAACGTGCACACTTCTTACCTTTCCCAATGGGAACAGTGTCGACTGTCGAAGTGCTGGTGAACATGCAGTGGCCTTGGGCAGTGTTTCTCAACCTTTTCCGTCCCATAGCACACTTGCAAAAAGATAACGCGTTTGTGGCACACTGCCCCCTAACCTGCATGCACATACGTGTCACTGACCCAAGCACATCTCAGTGTTCAATCAGAGCTGGTCTAGAAGTACATCGGTACAATTCCTGCTCAGCTGCTCTCAGATATTCCGTTTCTTTAATCTTCATCAGACTTGAGAAACATAATTTGCACCTCACAATGTTCCACACCTGTTAATGGCTGAAGGCAGCCCATCGTTGAGAAACCCTGCCCTAGGATACTGACATGGCTTAAAGGTTGTTGCCCTACAAAGTAAAGATGTTCTAAACTAACTGTTTATAGTCTAAACTAAGATGTTCACAAACTAGAAACAAAAGACTGAAGGCAAACAGAATTGTTAGGAAAGGGGTTTTAGGCGAGCAAGAGTTTGGAGAGTTCAGAGATTTGTCAGCTCTTTCTGGAGCTGGTCAATCAGGTACTCCCCGAAACCTGTTTCATCCTTACAGCCCACCCTCCTGGCATTAGTCAGGAGGGCGCCCACCACTTCGATCTTGCCAATGGCTGGTGTGACGAAACGCTTCTTGACCACGCTGGCTGTATGAGGGTCTCCACTTTGCTTGCTCTGCTGACAGAGCTCCGTCAGGATTCTGGCCACCTCCTTCCACTGTGCCAGCATCAGTTCCAGGGCCTGCAGAACGCTGCCCACTGCCTCGCACCCCGGTTTCTGCCAGAGACAATGCAGAGCGCCAGTTTAGAGATTCATGTCGCATTAACTGGGAGCTCTCGAGGGGATGTTTTATTATACTGAGCACAGTTCAGTGAACAAGATTTTGTTTTTGGCTTGATATATTCTAATTAGGGAACAGGCATTTAAATGTATTCTCTCCTTCCTGCTATTTCTAAATCATTCTGCACAATAGTCATAAACAAGATTACATTCTAAAATAGAGAAACTGGCTCTATGCAGTGAATATAAAACCTATGTAATAAACTTATATGTAGTGCCCTTGAAAGCGATCTCAAAGTTATTCGGCTATAGTGTGTCATCTGAATGTTCTTTTGCAGTCGAATACTTCAAAGTGTTCTGACAACAAGGACAGAGCACATTATTCTCAGATCTTAAGTCTTTAAAGGATAACAAGGTGTCTCAAATTGCTGATGACGGACTCTTGCTTTACCTCAGGATCAATTTAACATGAATTCTAACAGCAGGGGAAACAGACAATACACAGTGCTACAGCAAGAACTTACTGTACATCTGGTGGTACAATTAAAGTAACTGTCCTTCTGTACATGCATTCATCTCCCCAGTTCTCCAGAACTCAGATGTAATGTCAACTCTGACAAGTATTACCGCTATAACCCCTGAAAAGTTCATATTTACCCCCTTTTTTCTCTTCCTTTGACTTGAGTGATTTATTTAATCAAAGATTAGCTCAAACACTGCAGTTCAAAGTGCTGTATATGTTCTGTTTTTTTAAAACACTTGCATATTAACGTTTTTATCGTTCATTTTATGCAAGTACATATTTAAAACTGCACCAGTTGACCTGGCTGTGTATGAGGAATCCTGACCATGCTATGGTACAGCAGCTGTAAGGGCCAGGCCCGTACCTGGATGTCTTTATTGCAGTACTGTCCTCCGCGCTCTCGCAGGTATTCAAGCAGAGACTCTGCTTCCTTCTGCTCCTGCTCAGCTTCCTGGTGGAAAAATGCTGCTATTCTTGGTAAAGCAATATCATCCCGTTCAAACAGTTTCGCCTGTCAGAAACAAAAAACAGCGATATTGATCGTGTTTCAAGTAGGTGGCTGTGTCAGCATGTGTAGGCTGCAAAGGAACAGGCAGCGGGTTTATTCCTGCTGAAAAGAGAAGAAAGGAAACACAATGTTCTACAGGTGTGATATTGATAATGTCAGCTTTCTCTATTCTGAAACAATAAACATCCTATAAATATGCTAAATTCAACTTTTTATTTGGACATTTAATAAGACAGTAACTTCTGTAGTGATTTCCTGCACATAACCCACAAATATTTCTACAAAGCTATACAATATGATCAAAAACAAAATGCAATATTTATTTATATTTATTTATTTTAAAAAATAATATATTTATTTAGATATTCTCAATATACTTATTGCTGGACAGCCAGGGTCCTTCAATCTCAATGGAACTTGTTGATAATTTGTAATTGTTCTCCATGGTTTATGCTATATTCCATTTATTTTAGTATAAACATAATACCGTCTGTAATGTAGTCTATGCCTTCATTTTTATTGCATAAGGATGGGTACATCTCTGAACATTTTCAGCAGAACACTGCTTATTTGACACTTGTAGTGAACACACTTTTTTTTTTTAAGTGCAACAGGGAAGACCTGCCCCTGGAACATTTTAGCAATTAAACACCAAGTTTACCAAAATTCCTAACGTTTACATCTGAAAATCCAGCATATGTATATGCTGACCCAACGGTTGTGTTTTTGAAGATAAATTATTTGTTTAAAAAGTGTTTATCAAAATCTAGAATTAACTCAAAGCAAAGAAAACTGGAATAAATCTTGCATGTTGGATGAAAAGCCCTCGATTCGATACTAGAACTAACGGACTGAAATACCAGCTGCTGGAAGATGGAAGGAACATTCGCTAAAAGTTTCATTTAATAACCCAGTATTAGATTAAGTGCAGCATAAGGTATGAGTGTGAAACAGAAGTGAAAAAAGTGCTCATCTCAGTCTGAAGGAAGCCCTTGTGAGCAGTATGATGAATGGTGATTCATCTGAGACTGGGAAAAACTCTGAGATATTAGAAGTGATGTTGTACTGGGATGCCACAGTTTTCTAAAAGATAACATATTCTCTGGTGAAGTGGATGATTGTGGCCAAGTTCATTCCAGTGCTCTTACCCTTTTGTCTTTGAATATTAAGCCCAAAACCCTGTTAGTATTGTTACTGTGTTTTTTGGGGGGGTAGGTTTTAATTTTGTAACAGTTCTCTATTTCCTGTAACAACGTCTGCTGCATAGATATGCTACTATCCTGCAACACACGTTCTCTAGACTGTGGGTCTTTCTTGGAAGTGAAGGGCTGTGCAAAAGTTAGTTGTTATTTGTAAATTTATGATGGGCTATCGTGCCCTTTTTAGTGCAATTACAAATCATACTTCATTGTAAAAGTTTTGGAAGCGTGACTCCCAGAAAGTTTACACAAAACATTGTGATTTACCGCAAATTAATCATTGTATTAATTAATACAATACTTAAAATACTTAAAACTGTGGCATCCCAATAAAACATCACTTCTAATATCTCAGAGTTCTTCCCAGTGAGATTAAAACACCTGTACTTTTTTTTTCTGGATTGCTTTTTTCATCATGTTTTTGAACTGTATGAAACATTTAAAAAAATGTATTAAAATATACGAACAACTTAAAAAAGGTTACTTACAATACATTTATAAGGGTATATTTATAGTTTATAAGCAGAGCGCAGTACTGTTATAGATGAAGTGATAAATGCATTGGCTTTGTAGTCTAATTGGTAAATGTGTAATAACTCAAACCTCAATACCTCTTTTTGATAAGGAACAGAGAGAGGCTCTCAGAATAAAATACATACAGTATCGTTCACGAAGACCAGCTTGTTTCGCCTTACCAGGGCTTGAAGTCGATAAGCAACCGCCATCAGCACCGTTATAACGCCGCACAAACTTTCCTCAACTACCAAGGGGAAGTTGTGCTTCACCCGGGTCCCGGTGAGCGTCCGGTGGGCCGTGCAGACAGGCAAGGTTAGTTTGAGCCGTTTGCCTGCAGGTTCCGACATTTTATCAAAACTGTCGCTTAAAAATAAAATCGCGGAAAACGGAATCTACTGCAGATGATTTCACTGGAGCATGACGACCGAGTATTTGGCGGAATGTTGTCATGTAGCAATCCCGGTAATTTTATAGGTTGTGAAAGAAAAAAAGTGGAGCAACTGCCTGCTCCGCAGTTAAATTTAGACTCTACAAGAAGGCGTATATAATCCAGTTCTCTTCCCGTTCAGCTACTTTGTTCATCCGGTGCATTTGAGCTACAGGTTTTGAACTTTCCAAATTAGGTTACACATCAACGATCAAAAAGTTATGATAAAACTGGACGTTTGTAATGCAGTTGTGACTGTTGATTGTGGCGTACTGACACATAACGTGTTACTGCACACCTGAATTATAGACGTCACCAAAAGCGCACCCCCTGTGCAGTAATCTTTTTAAACACTGTTTATGCACTTTGTCCGCGTATGTGTACGTACCTCGCCGCTTTTTTATCTAGAAAAAAACCACTTTTCACACTCACTGTAAGGTCATTCATTTTAGGACGAGAGCTTCCACATATAATATTTATCGGGGCCGAATATCCTGTACTATAAAACTATAATACTGGTGACTTTTTCAATCTGCATCGTAAATGTCCTGATAGTAGATGATCTTAACTCGTGCAATGAGTGAAAGTCATACATTAGCATACATACAAACTTGTTTTTTCCCCCCAATTACCTTGGAAAAAATAACATGAATCGTTATCGTTAAATTATTTATTTTAAACAACCATACATACCTACAAGTGGCAAAGTATGGGCTTTAGGTTTCCAGCACAAGTTAAATTTACTCAAGTATTACAAACTGACATAAGGTTTCTGCAACTTTTGTAAGGACGACTATATAAGGTAGAAAAAGTCACTGACAGCAAAACTTATATTGATAAGAAATAATATTTTCTATCTCCGTGGGAAATGACAACTTTAATAGCTTGGTACTATTGTAAAGGCGATCTGTTCAGAGAGAATGTGAAGAGATCATAGTATTCATTTATTATGCAAATATTTGGTATACAGTATATGAGTTTACTAATGTACACATTTAACACATTATACAGTAACTTAGAACAACATATTCATTGACCAAGTTGTAATTACACTATATCTGTGTGAAGATCTGTGCTTTTGAATTGAATACATTGAGAAAACAAAGTTTAAACTGATTGAGAATTGCCGAGGAAAAAAAAACAACAACAGACATTGCAGTTACATCAGAGTGCAGTTGCCAAACAGAACAGTTCTTTGGTCATATGAGTGTTTTGGGGGAATGATTCAGTACTCATTTGTAATATTGAAACCGCACGTTCATTTTTTCCCTCTGGATCATAGAAGTAAACCATTTTACATCTGAGATGAGCAAAGCGGTGCTCAACTTTGATTGAACCATGCGGTAACTGAAGTATTTCCCAGCGATAAGCATCTGTTTTTCCAGCTCCAGTAGACACGTGTTACGTTATTATTGCCTGGTGTGTATTGTGAAGTCCTGAGTGTGAAAGACGGTGCTCTTTTGCCACGTGCCACTTGTCCAGAGCCTTCCCCCCGTCTTCCTGCTTTCCTCTGTGGATAACACACTGGAGGACGGCCAGTCCTGCGGACGAGCAAAAAGGTCAGGTCCAGACATTTGCCCGACAACATTACCAGCAAACGGCACATACGTCTCTTAGTGCTTTTGGTCTCTGTGCTTTTTCTGCACAGTGAATGAAAATGTATCATCAGGCTAGTCTTGTAGCAAACGTTTTTTTTTTTCTCAGCATATGACAAATACTGAATCTTACATGAACATCATCTAGAAAAAGACACTCGGACAGTTAGAAAAGCACTGAATAGGAGATCATATGTCTTTCCCTTCTGCACCTTGTCTTTGTCCTCAGAGTGAGCAGATGTAGCGTCTTGTCTTGACTCTAGTATGGAACACTGTGGTGGTGGGACTGGTCAGCACAGCACTCAGGCTCATAGAAAACGAAAACAGAAAAGAGGAGAGAGGTTTGGACCAGCTAGCTTTGCAGGCTGAATTGTCATATTTAGTATAGGAAATTAAGCCTAGTAAACTGTTTAGTCTAAGCAATAGTGTATCTTATAAATAAATACAAATGATCATTTTAAGTCCTGCTGTGGTATATAATCATAAATCACAGCAAATCTACATAGTAGAATTGTTTAAACTGCAGCATAAGCTAACAAAGAGCATAGGAACATACCAAAATCTGAAGCATCAAATGCAAAGCTTTATATCAGGAAAACCAAAAGAAAAAATATAAAAATATATAGCAGTTATCTACAGTAAATCAGTTGTAGTGCATCATCATTCATTGAAGTACTTTTTACCATTGCATTTTAGGGATAGTACAGATTTAACTGAGTATATATGTGAATTCCTTTACTTGTTGCATTAAGATATGCTAAGTTGTATAAGATATACAATCTTTATAATTGATGTACTTATTTTTGGATTTTAAGTTTGTTTAGATGTTTTTTTTTTCTGAAAACAGGGCTAGCTGTCAAAAAGAGAGAGTGCATTACATCTGGGGGGGAGTTTAGAAAGTGTCCGAAATGAAAACTGCAAGGTCATCATATTTTCTTGTCTGTTTGGGATAGCTGGAAGAAAAACAATAATAAAGAGATTCCCTACTTGAGGGCCGCAGTGGCAGGTGGCTATTCTGCTGCCGGGCACAGCTCCCTGTTCCCTCGCAGCTCCCAGGAGAGACTGTAGCCTCATTATGTGCTGTATGGCGTGGCGAAGAATCTCCACCTTGGACAGCCTCCGTTTGGGGTTTGGCACCGTCTTTTGCTTCAGAGCTTCGAAAGCCTCGTTGACCCTTTTCAGCCTCTTCCTCTCCCTCAGTGTGGCAGCCCTCCTGCGGTCTGTCTGGGAGGGCCTTCTCTTATAGACCCCGCAGGCCCACACCATGCACTGCCTCTCTGAGAGTCCGGGCCGGGGAGAGGGGCCAATGTGTTCTTCTGTTGGACTGTTCATTCTAGAGCAGACCTGGGGTTCTGCCTCGTCATCCCCACTGTCTTTGCTGGTCGTTACATGCCGCTCATTAGCGCAGACAAAATGGGGATGCTGCATTTTCCCCTCCAGTGAAATGCAGGTTCTGGAACCAGCTGTCACTGTGCAGAGATCTTTTGGGAGACGGTGCTTCTACTTCATTGCTGTTTTTTTTTATGTGTGGCTCTGCCTCCCCCCCCCACCCCCACCCCCCATCTTTGTTACTGTTGTGGAAAAGATTTCGATCTTAAATGCCTTTACAAAAGCAGTGGCAAAATTGAACTCACAGCTTTATATATAGAAGCTTGTGAAACTCAATACAAGTGTCCTTTTACTTCAAACTGGTTTTTATTGGCACATTTCCATCTACTGGATGGGCATCCAGCTCACTGTACAACATAAGTCCACAGCTACAGAGGAATCTACTACTGAACAACTGTTGGGGATTTGCGTTCCTATGGACTTTGTGGTGTCCTTTAATAAATTCTTTGTTGGGGGTTTCTTACGTCTTTCATTGTGGCAAGTGTTGCTCAGGGGACGTGAATATGTTCATCGGATGCTGCTTATCATGTTCTTACCATGGATTTTGAAGCACCCTGTGAAAAAATGGTGTGCTCTTTGAACTTCTGTGTTGCTGTATTATGTTTCTTTCTGGTTTCCTAGCAACCTGTTTGTGACGTTGGTCCTGGAGAGTCCATGGAAGATGCCACGGCAGAGGCCGCCAACATAGCCCCATCCCATCGGAGTGGAGTCAGAACACAAATGTCCCAGATCATTTTCAGAGTGTTTCAGAGTGTTTACAATCACAACATGGGGAGGGACCATAGGTCTTCTTCAGGGATTTTAACAGGTAGAAGTTACCTCTTTTTGTCAGGTCTCTGTACTTAGTACAGATAGTAAAGTTTGACGAGCAAGCTTGGGATCGTGTAACGTAATGAGCACAGCAAAGACGTAATTGTGAACATCACGGTCTATTATATTTTATTTTTTACTCCCAAAATTCCATTCTGTCCATATAGTCTGTGGTTGAGTGTGCCAGTTAAACCCCCTGATAATTTGGTACAGTAACTAATTTGTATTTTCAATAGATGTGTTTTTTTCATTTCTTGAGATCACTGTAGGAAGTAACCACAGACATGTAACATTGCACTATTAAATTGATGTGGTAGGTTAATGACTTAAATTCTTCTTCAATTAAGGCTTAATGCTTAATTGCTTATTTGGCTTTGATCACAGCTAGAAGCAGGAAGTGTTCCTTTATTAAACGGATATAAACAAAACCTGCCTGGAGCAAAGCAGTGTGCAGGCCTTTTAATGCAAAAGGAGCAGACAAAACAATGGAGTCCGATGACCCAAACAAAATCACCTTTTCAGCCAAACAGCTCATGGCCTGGGGTCCTCATGTAGTTCAGACATTTCACTGAACCGCTCAGTCATGTGATCTGCAGGGACATGGATTTGGATTTGTAACACCCCCTTTGCATAGTCCTGTAACTCAGAAATGGCAATCCATCATGTGTTGTTCCTCAAAGATCATTCATATGGGTTTATTTGATGAGTTCTGAAAATTTCAAATGTAGTTAGAAGTAAAAAAAACTCATTCATTAGTCGCAGCTCTTAGCTGTACCTTTCTGAGAGAGAAATCTTGAACGGATGTGTAAGAGCTCTGCACATGACGTGTGGAGGAGAGACCTACTGGCAAAGTGGCAACCTTGGTGGACATGGGATGTCATTCTTCACACCTGCTTCAGAGCGTAACGACAGCAAACTGCCTTAACCCTAGCCACTACAACACCAGCATTGTGCTGTGACACAGGCTGGGCAGAGATTACATTACACACTGATTAGAGCTTCAGTTACAGCCCCTTAGCGTGGACAATGGGGGATCAGAGCAGTGGACATGAGAGTTTTAACATGCCTTGTGCCTGAGGAGCAAAAGGGATTACTAATGAAACAGCCAATTGCAAGCCATCCAAGAGCCACTTAACTGTTCTGACTGAAAATCCCAGCTTTTAGTTTGAACTGCTCAGTGTTGCAGTGACAGTCGCCTTCATTGGGATAAATACTGGCTTTAAGTCTTCTGCATACTTAGTTATGCAGATTTGTATCACCGTGTCTGTTCAAAAGTTAATGTCTGAACTGAGTCTTTGTAGGTTTATAGAAGCAACACAATTTATTGACAAATATGCATGGACATGAGCTCCTGATTTCCATTATCTTACAAATGGAAGTGATTAGTGTGAGGTATACTGAAGTATTGTTATTGTATTAATACATCCTGAACTGAATAATTAAATAAGAAGTACAGAGAGACGTAAAACACATATGCTGTATTTGACTATTTGCATTAGTACCTCAATTTTAAATTTTACAGCAACACGTGACTGGCCATCTTGTGCCTGTTGCTTGCTGGGTTGCTCCTCTGCAACCCCAAATTGGAAGAAGTGGTTAGAAAAGTTAGTTGGAGTTCCAATACATTGACATGCTTGGGTCTAGGAAACACTGGTATACTATGTCAGGTCATGTGCTTGTTACTGACATTTCTCTTCTGACTAAGACTTGCTGGGATCTAGATATGAACAGTCACTCAAGTCCGCCTCATCCAAGTCCTGCGATGCTTGGCCATTGGCCATTTGAGAACTGTATTCTGACAGCAGCTACCCACATGTTGGGCAGTGATACAGCCTAGATTTGAACTGGCAGCTCCAGGGGCACAGGACACATGCTGATTTTTATCTTTGTTGTTTACTCTTCTATTTTTAGACAATAGGGATGAAATATTTTGAGATTGCATTTGTTAGATTTATTTTTCTTTATAATGCAAAACAAATATTTGATAATGAGGTGTTAGGTGGGTGAGTCCCATAACAACTTGCCATAGCAATTTCAATAACCAGTGTCTCTTATGTGCTAAAATAAGGATCTAATTGTGGTAAATCATTACAGCCATGTGGCTATTTTTTGAAACCGTTAAGCTCTTCCCGCAGAGATAATTCAGTTTTTAGCCCTTTGTTAATGCTCGGTATGCCAGTCTTGGAATGCTCCACAGTAATTTTAATTCCTGTCTAGTGCCGCCATATGTATCTAAATATAATAAAGGTATTGTGTTTTATGCATGTAGCGATTTATATATTACTGATAATGTGAATGTTGATAAGAAGGATTGTGACACTATGTTTTACTACCTTAGATAATCACCATTGTATAAAAATGGGAGTCCGGTAACATATGTCAGTGTCCATCTTCCATACAGAAACGACAAAAGTGAAAGGTTCATTAGGCAAACAGACAGCCTTACTCAGTATTTACTATAGAAAAGCCTATCTGGTGATTAAATTGGCAACAGATTGGTGGAAATAAATTAAAACAAGATTGGACGTATGATTGTCTAGACTAGATTAAAATTTTTGCATCAGTGCATGATAAGAAATAACATAGGAGACACTTATTTTCTTCAGCAAAAAAAATCTGCTTTACATTTTTAACTAATTCTTCAAACTGTATTTAAGTGAGTTAAATAAAATATATTTGAATGAGAAAAATCTTTTTTGCCTAACTACATCACCCTTGGAACATTTTTGATCGCTTTAAAAAATGCTTTTGGAGAAAACATGCTTTCAAAGCTCCCATACCTGTCAGTTTGTTGGACTCTGATGGGATTTTGGCACCAGTTCCTTGGCAATGGGAGATGTGGGAATCTGCCCACAATACCCTGGCTTCCTCCAAGAAATGACTCGATGAGCCGCTAACTTCCAAATGTGGCTACATGGCCACCTCTCATTTGTACTCTTTCTTATGTTTTTATGTTTATAATTTAAATGGTTTCTCTGTGGTCAGGGTTGTCTGTAGTCTTAGTGAGGAACGCCAATGCGTGTGTGGATGATTGTATACTGCACGGAAACATAAACTATTGTGTACTGTTACTTAAGCAAAAGTTTGTAGGGCTGTAACCTCTGTTTTAAATCGTATCCCTGCAATGCAACAATGAAAGGTGTGGTATTTCAGCATATTGTAAGAGATTAAAGCATGCACATCTGTTTCCCTCTGCAGCTCTCAGCCTTTCATTCAAGCCATCTAACTCCCAAGTGTTGAAGTCCACTCCACTCAGTACTGTTTGACAAACCTAAATTAGGCTAAAAGCATAGATTCTTTGAAAACTGAAACTAGAACCCAAGCTAGTGGAAGTGATTTATAGGGTAAAAAAAGGAACATTTCGTGTCGGAATAAAGTTTTCAGTACCTTCCCTATCTTCCTAGTGTTTTTGAAGAGAAAATGCATTATCGCCCATTCAGAAAGTGGATTTTTGGTTGTTTAATTGAAAGGGAGGCGGAGAAAAACAATCTTTTCTGGGTACTCGCCAAATTATTAAAGTTCTCATTCATCAGCAGATCCTTTTTAATGACAATGTTGAGAAGGCTGCCTGTGGTTGAAAGTGCAGCTGGGAAAGAGATCAATAGGGCTTTGCTGTTACCGAGGCCAACAGCTGTTTAATGGTGATATTCTGTAATGTCATCAGCAGACCTGAACTCAGCTCAGTGCCTTGCTAATTGTACTCAAAATGAGAAAAGAGAATTCATTATCAGAGCTAAATGGGATTTTATTCTTTTTTCTAGTTTCGTTAAATGCATATCAATAAAATTTTGCTGCTGGGTTCTGCTTTGCTTGATTGGCTTTCTTTGGAATGTGGAATCTGAGGGTTTCCTCAGAAGTTTTAGTCAGGGTTTTGTGCTGAAAGCCAAACAGGCCGCACTCTCCTTGTGAAAGCATGACAAATAAACAGAATGCTTCAAAAATTAAAGAACAATTTAACTTCAAAGATCAATTTGCTCCTCTCTGTTTCAAATCTGGGAATTCAGTTTATGTAATAAAAAAAGGAAATGTTTTTTTAATCCGTTTCAGCAGCTTTAAGAGCTTATCCATTTTAAATTTACAGTATTTTACCTACAGTAACAACTTTACATATACATGGTAATGGGCCTTGTGTTGTGTTGAAATGCTTACATTGGTATCTTGGTTTAACCTGTGATTGAAGAAGAGTTTCCTAATGGATTATTTTAATTTATAACTGAAACCTGTGTGTCCCAGAAATAATTAGAAATGTATAAGTGACATAATGCACTTTGAGACGAATCAAAGATTTACCTTCTCACAATGTAAGTGAGGTTTGTCTTTTTGGAATAAAATTACAGCATTAACTTGTTTTGCTTCATGTATCATTTCCTTAGCTGCAAACACAACAAAAGTAATCATCTCACAATGTTATAAATATATTTGAACCCATATAGTCCTTTGAAGAAGAGCACATTTCCTCAGATGGGTTTTGAAATGCTGCTGTGCATCACTATTAAGGCTGACAGTATGTCTAATATTTTAGACTCGTTTGAAATTCTAACAATAATGGCGAGCAAATCAGCAGCATGAAATCAGCGAGTGATTTTCACTGATTTTGTTTAGTGTTGTTTTGACCATGAAGTTTTTGTTGTAGGGGTCACTAGTGCCACTAAACCTCCAGTGCACAGTAAGTCGTACGTGCAGACGGGGATTGTTTGGAATCTAGTTGTGCCTGAAATTGCCTGGAGGCTCCTGGGAATTCCTTTCTGCCCTTGGCTTTGGAATGGCTTAGGGTAAAGCATCTGGCGAGCAATCACCTTCAGGGCCCAGCCAAGTTCAACAGCATCAGGCTGGGGTCAGCGGCAGACATGTGTGGGTTTGGTGTATCAGAATAAAAGAAAATCTTGTTAAAAGGTGAGGACAGAAGACATCCAGTTCTCAAACTCCTTGTCAAGATGTGCCTGGTGTAAGTTGAAAAACAAAGCTGTATTTTCAAGTAGGAAGGAAAAATAGAGACGTGTTATGTGAAAAATAGTTTAATACTGTACATGTAGAACTTTATTTAGATCTTAACATTATGCAAGATCTATGTTCTCTACGTAAACAGAAATGTAGAATTCTGTCTGTACTTAAAGAAGTCTGACATATGCTAGCAATGAATATTGAGCTATTTTGTCCTTTTTAAACTGATTCTGATTGCAATTCATCGGCAATACTTATC